AGCCGACTTCTCGTACCACTCCGAACCCAACCTTGGGTCCTACAGGAGTCGAAAAAAGGTCCACACCAAAACGGCCTACAGCACAGGGGGCATCCGCGAGACTGCGGTCTGAATAAACCCTAAACCCTAAATCCTAAACCTTGGGATGTTCCCCCTGAAGCTAGCAGTCCCTACAAGGGATTCTAATAGGGGAATTAAGGACTGTTAGTATAGGGGGGGAACATCCCAACCTAAATCCTAAACCCTAAACCCTAAACCCTCAGCCCTAAACCCCAAACCCCAAACCCCAAACCCTAAACCCTAAACCCTAGCCCTAAACCCTAAACCCTAAACCCTAAGTCTCCAGCCTTCCTTGCTACTCGTCTGCTGCGCGCAGCCGCGCAATCTCGCCTTGGAGGCGAGCAAGGGAGGGAGCCAAGTATCCCTTAATGTTTGGAGTGTGCCTTGACACTATTTGTCTAGGGTTTAGGGTTTAGGGTTTAGGGTTTAGGGTTTATCCCTTAATGTTGGAGTCTAGGGTCTGGGGTCTAGGGTTTAAGGTTTAGGGTGACATATGCTAGGTTGCCTCGTGGCTGGCTCCATGCTTGGGCTCTCCGGTGTGTCCTGTGGCTACGCTTTCTGAGAGCAATTCGTTTGTCACAGATACAGGTACTTCTTCTTCTTCCCAGAACACAGAGACTCCCAAACCCCTTGTGAAAGGAATATTCCGAATAATATTCCTTACTTGCGGAACATTGGAGGCTCTGGAAAGGCCTTTACATTCAGTCCGAAGCTTGAATACAAAGGAAGATGGCAAGGAGCAGGGTCACCGTTTAGGCTTTAGGGGTTCAATACCCCTTAAATGAAGGAATACACCTTGTGAGGATCTATCTATAAATATATGGCTTAAATTAAGGGTATGGGGTTCTTTGGGTATAGGGGGTTTCACCACAAGGAGAAATGTTTCAAATAACGCATACCACTGTTGCTGCGGCACGCGCTGCTCTACCATGCTCTCTACCATGCTCAGGGCAGGTTGGACTGGAGAATACCATGCCTTGTCGCTACAAGTACGCCGCTCGAAAACCGGGACAGCACTATGAACTGCGCTGAAGAACATGTTTAGCGCGTTTGAGGCCCGCGATTACATTACATACCCCATATACTGCAACCATCACTATTGGGATTGCAAAGTCAATCAACAACTCAATCAATATGTATATAGTATGGACCACAAACTTGTTTGCCCGTCATGTTTTGCCTCAAAAAACTGCGGGGACTTCGAGGGCGCCCCTGCTTGCCGTCATCTGAGGTCTGATCAAAAGCGGTCATTTCTGATAACCTTAAACTTTGTAATTATAACCCTATAACCTTAAACTTTGTACTTCTAACCCTACATAGCTACCTAGGGCTTGCTAACCCTTACACCCTAAACCCTCAACCCTAAACCCTCATCCTTCATCCCTCAAAGAAGCCCACATTCTACTGAGTCTTTGCGAGTCACAGGCTGCAGCGGCCGCGAGAGACTGGGCCACGCGGTTCCTAAGCTGTCTGCTTTGGGAGGCTCAAGAGCTAGGTAGGTAGGTAGGTAGGTAGGTAAGCAGGAGTTGACCCACTGTAGTCTAACTCGGTTGTGGAATACCATGTTTGGGGCTTGGTTTCCATGCATATCCAAAAAACCCGAAAACCCAAGGCATTTAAGCAAAAAGTAAAAAACAAAATCCCAAAATAACCTTTAAAAAACACCAACAAAACTAAAACCCAAAAACAAAAATGACATAACACCCTAAAACCCCGAAATAACCCCCCAAAAACAACCATGAAAACCCTAAACCCTAAACGGCGGCCCAGAGGCAAGGATGGTGGAGGCCGTGCCTGGATCTGCGAGGATTCAGAGCTGTCATTTGCAAAGAGTCGGGTTTAGGGTTTAGGGTTCAGGGTTTAGGGTTTAGGGCTTGGGGTTTAGGTTTAGGGTTTAGGGTTTAGGGTTTAGGGTTTAGGGTTTAGGGTTTAGGGCTTGGGGTTTAGGGATCGGGTTTAAGATCTAGGGCTTAGGGTAGCTTAGGGATTAGGGTTTAGGCGCAGGGTTTGGGTAGGAGTTTTAGGGTTTGGGAGGTTATGTAGTACCTTCCTGGGCAGCGCAAAAGAATCCCCAATAAGTAACACTAGAGCCTCCGACGTAAGGGAGTTTAGGAAGCTGAGTTTTGGGTTTTAGGGTGTGAGATCTTGGAGGATTCAAGCGATCAGAGGATCATTGAGATTCGCAGATGGAAGCTGTGGCTTCAGATAGCTTAGGGGTTTACGAGGGTGGAGCTGCAGTTTTAGGTCTGAGGCCCCTGAACCCCATAAACCCGAAACCCTGAACCAGGATTTTGCAAGCGCCTGATGTCCGCAACGCTGGAAGTCGTCGTCGTAGTCGTAAGCCCTATCCCTACACTTCGAGACCCTGAACCACAAATTCCTCACATCAACCTAGGACGCTCCCCTGGGAAGCTGCATCCCAGGAAATGCCTCTGTCGTTCAGTAAGAAGCATTGGGCAACCCTCATATACATCGCATAAAACACAAAAGGCCCACACTTCAGAACCCTCTGAAGAAGGCAAGGGATCACATTAAGGCACCATGTAACTTCCCTTGGATAGAGATCCCGAAGTTCCGACTGCAACCCTGAGAGCCCGAAGAAGGCCCCGGGCTTGACCCCTACTTTGGAGTAGACCCTGAAAAAAAAGCAGGTCTATACTTTGTCGGTATATGTAGCTACAATATGAACCCAGAACCAAAAAAACATGTTAAAGCATAGTATGCTCCAAAACCCAGTGACTTGCTTGCTAGGTACCGGCGACGCGCCCCCGGTCAAGAAGGTGTCATGCCCTCTGATGCAGAGCTCGGGAAACCTTAACCCCTAAATACCCTCAACCCTAAACCTCGAAGTACCCTAAATGCCCTATAAATTTTATACCCTGACTACTATAATAAACCCTGAATACCCTACAAACCTGAAAATACCTTAACCCTGATTACCCTAATTACCCTAAATGCCCTAAACACCTTGAACCCTAAATAGCCTAAATACGCCTAGACCTGCCTAAACCCTAAATACGCCAAAATATTAAATACCCTAAGCCCTACATACCTCAAACCCTAAAAACCTTAAACGCCCTAAACATTTCATAAATACCATAAATACCCTAAATACCCTAAATCCTAATACCCCATAAACCCTAGTAAACCCTAACATCCCTAACCCTGAATACCCGAAACCTAAATACCAAAAATACCTTTTAAACCCTAAAGCAACCCTGAACCCCTATACCCTAAACCCTAAACCCTGAACCCCTAGAATGCTTCCGGTTGGGGGGAGGGGCCTCTTCAGGGGCTAGCAGGGCCTTCGCGCTTTAGGGAGCTCAGGATTGAGCGTGGTGGGGTTCAGGGTTTAGGTTTAGGGTTTAGGGTTTAGGGTTTAGGGTTTAGGGTTTAGGGTTTAGGGTTTAGGGTTTAGGGTTTAGGGTTTAGGGCTTCGGGTTTGGGGTTTAGGGCTGGGGCTTGGGCTACCTCTGTAAGAACCTATGTAGCACAAAAAAACTACGGGCATGCCTCCGCGAAGAGATTCAAAGTACTGCGATCAACCTGCGGTTCCCCCTAAATCCTAAATGAAACCCTATACCCTGGAGGTACCTACCTTCCATCTTACGGTACCATGACCTTAAAAGGAGGCACAGCACACGCAAAACGGATGGCACAGAAGCCTCTAGTAGACGTGATAAACCCGACGGCCCAGCCTTTGATCAGCGGTTCGACAACTTTGGTGCGGAAATGCCTTGATTGGGCAAACTTCTGAAAGAGGCTTGGGGCCGGAGTGGGGTCCTGTACCGAGATCCCCCCCCCCCCCCTGAATTTAAGTATGACTCTCCCCCAAAGTAAGCCTTCAGGCCCTTATAAGTAGGCCTGATGAGTGACGGGCTTGTGGGATCTGATCAGGGTTGACATAGTGTAAGTATATACTTTGAAGGACTAGACCCTAAACCTCTGTCAACCGGGCCCGGCATGGTCCGCTTCATGAGGGTGTGAAACTGTAAAGCTCGTTCGTACAAAGGCCCCGAATTTCAGCAGCCACTTTCAACATAGGAAGAAAGCAACCCTTAACCCTATTGCAGACTTTAAACCTCACGCAACCCCCTCTGACTTAACGGAGGTACTCTACTATGCTTAAGAAGCCCCTCCCGCCCAAAAAATAGAAGACAATAATCCTGCTTCACCCTAATAAGCAAGAATGTTTTTTACTTTTTGGGGGTTTCTAGGCAAATAGTAATGCTGTCAATCATACAGAGGAACCCCCCACGTTAAAGCTGATTGGACCTGGGATGCAACTGACTGATCACACTTTGAATCAATCAACCAAGCCGTGCTTAGAGGTTTAGGATTTCGGGTTTAGGGTTTAGGATTTCAGGTTTAGGGTTACAAGCAGAATATTATTGCTATTTTCATATGCTATGGTATGACGTGGTGTCCACCGCACGGAAGCCGCAAGATAGCATGGACTTGTCCGACATGACCGACTGCCCCTAAACCCTAAACCCTAAACCCTAAACCCTAAAACCCTAAACCCTAAACCCTAAACCCTAAACTCTAAACCCTAAACCCTAAACCCGAAACCCTAACCCCGCCCCCCGGCCGAGCTGCTGCTGGAAGAAGGGCATTCGCGTGAAGAAGAGTGCTACGGAGCGAAGACGCCCAGCAGCTTGCACCTGTTCGGGGTGGTTGCAGGTTCAGAGTTTCGGGTTTAGGGTTTAGGGTGTAGGGTATAGGGTCAGGATTTAGGATTTGGAGTTTGGGGCTTATAGGGTTTATAAGTTTGAGGCTTCGGGTTCATGAGGGCCTACATGAAATCTCAAAGTGAGAAAAAAACAGATATAGGATGAATATAGGACCCTCTGCTTGCCGATTCTGATTAAAGGTCATAACCCATCAAGACCTGTCGTCATGAACCTCCTACGCCCTCAAAGTGGAGAGCCCAAATTCACTTAACCTTAACAATTGAAGCCTAGCGCCTAATCTTGAAACCACCTGAAGCCTCTAAACCCCGAAACGCTAAAATCCACAACCCTGGGACCTAAACGCCCGAAAAATCGTAACGAACTTCTTGGTAGCCTAGCAGCAATATTATGACAAGGGCACCCTTTTTTGGGGGTTGGTTACTTTGTAAGGAAGCCCATAAGCACAATAAAGGGTGAATGGAACCACAGGGCTACCCTAAACCCTAAACCCTAAACCCTGAACCCTAAACCAGAATAAAGGGTAAAGGCTACCACTGGCCAAGACCGTGCAACTCCGAGGCACAGCAAGCTGCCGGCGCTGCTCCTCGCTAGGTTCGCCCCTGGCCGCGGCCTCGAAACTCTGGGGTTTAGGGTTTAGGGTTTAGGGTTTAGGGTTTAGGGTTTAGGGTTTAGGGTTTAGGGTTTAGGGTTTAGGGTTTAGGGTTTAGGGTTTAGGGTTTAGGGTTTAGGGTTAGGGTTTAGGGTTGTTTAGGTTTTAGGGTTTAGGGTTTAGGGTTTAGGGTTTAGGGTTTAGGGTTTAGGGTTTAGGGTTTAGGGTTTAGGGTTTAGGGTTTAGGGTTTAGGGTTGGAGCTTTGGGGGTTTGTGGTAGGTTTTAGGGCTTTGGGGTTTAGGGGGCCTGGGGATTTTGGGGTTTAGGGTTCAGGCTGAGAGGGCCTTAAAGTCCCACACCCAAACCCAAAACTACCGAAACCCTGAGGCGAGTTTGAGGCCCAAGCCCACGATGCTTGTCTTTCAGGCATGTCCCCCAAACCCTAAGACTCTAAACCCTAAACCCTATTCCCGAAACCCTGAACACAAATGCCAAAACAGCAGCACGCGTGGCAATGTTCTACGGTCGACATTCGCTTTGGGGGGTTTTGGGGGGTTAGGGTCCCTTTTTCCATACATTAAGGCCCTAATTACTAAGGACCATGACATACCAGAAAGGGAACCAGAGTTGTGCAAATGGCCTTAGCTCCAATGGAGATCTCAAAAGTGGGATTGACCTCACCCACAAACACTGAACCTGAGCCCCGAACTCTGAATACCGAACTCTGAACAGGGTTTACGGGTTCTGGGGCTTACGTTGACGGGTTATAAGGTTCAGGGCTTCAAATCCTGCAGCCTCAAACGAATTAGCTGTTGTCTGGGGGTATACAACCGAACCCTAAACCTAACCCCCCCCCCCCCTTTCAAGTATATGGGAAGAGGCCCGCACCTTCAACCGTCTCGGCGAGGAGTCCTCCATGGCCAGCAGATCCTGTGCTCTGAGGCTTCAGTAGGGTTTAGGGTTTAGGGTTGAGGGTTTGGCGTCTAGGGTTTAGGGTTCAGGGTTAGGGTTTAGGATCTGGGGTTTATGGGTTAGCTGGACCTGTTTCTAAAACGCTGACGCCCTGGAACGGCCGAGCTACACGGATACTGTGGCGGCCGCAAACGGCATCGCTGCCGTCCCACTGTACCTCCACGACGTTGGCGGAGATGATGCCTGAGTTGATAGCAGTAACTCTAAACCAGTCTAAACCCATATCGAACCATGAAATGAGCCCTCTAAAGCCCTGAACATCAACCCCCTAAAAAACACGGCTTCTGGATTCGGAATCCGGAGCATGCAATATACCTGCCAGGCAATACACCCAAGATGACCTCGCAGGCAAAGCTTCGGCCCGTGGACACACGCCTAGCCCTTCAAACGAGAAACTCTAGCTTAAGTTGAAACTCTAGCTTAAGTTGAGGTGTGATGCAAGCCCTCTGAAAGCCTCTGCGAATCAGTGCACAAAAAGACAAAAAGCCCCAGTAAACTCAGAATCCACAACCTCGGAGCAGTCCTCTTACATGCAGCAACTGCAAACGTCCAGTTGAGGCAAAACTCTGAGCCCTTTCGGCTTTTCAGAAAATTCAGCTGTTCGGAGCACTCGGGCCTAGGCAGTCCATTCAAGGATTCGGGGTAGTATTAGAAGGCCACGAAGGCTTTTTGGGGTTTAAGGTCGGTCTTGGGATCCAGCTCGCGGAATAAACTCAGTCTTACCCTCACAACTAAAAACCGAATAGTCTGAAACATAACCCAAACAGTCCTAACCGTAACGCCTAAACCCTAAATACTAAACCCTAAACCCTAAATCCTAACTAGGCCCGAAGCTCTTCCTAAGCCACAAGCCACAAGCCCTAAACCTCCTACTTGTCACACCAGACTTGTGTGCGCGGAGGTTGGGATAGCCAAGTAGCCCATATACTAAACAAAACGAAAACCATGTTACAGACAACTCTCAACCCTATAAACCCTACAAAACCCTGACAAAACCCAAAAAAACTGTAACACACCCTAGAAAAAAGCCAAAGTACATAAGCCCTGTAAACCAAAAACCCGTAGCAACAAACCTGCAACCGAGAGGGCGTTGCAGCGCCAACGAAAAAACAAAGACCTAGCCCCAACTGAAAATGCCCAGGCGTCAACACAAAACCCTCCTCCCCGACTAAATGGAGCATGCAAGAATGTACGACTGCTCTTTGTTTTCGCTCGCCACGCCCCAGCGTCAGATCATCACCTCGGATTGGCCAAGCAGAGGCACCAAAGGACATCAGTTCCGGAGATTATCAGGTCTTAGAACACAAAAGCGACGTCCTTTGCTTTTTGCATTCACCCAGAGCTGTCCCAAACCAAAAGACATCAGTTTTGGAGCTCTTCATGCCTGAAAGGACGAAAGCCACGTCTTTTGACCAGAGGACCAGAGAACCAGAGGTCAGAGGACCAGAGGTCAGAGGACGAGGTCAAAGGACCAGAGCCAGAGGTCAGAGGAGCCAAGAGAAGCAGAGGACCACAAAAGCCACAGCTAGTTGCCCCTTACCAACCAACACGCCCCACCCCCCCCCCCTCCCAAACCAAAGAACGTCAGTTTTTAGCAGACACCACAAAAGCCACGTCTTTTGCTTCCCTACCAACATCCCCCCCCCCCCCCCCCGCCAGCCCCCCCTTCCCCCCTTCCCCCCCCCCAAACCAAAGAACGTCAGTTTTGGAGCTCTTCAGGCGGGAGACCGCAAAAGCCACGTCCTTTGCCTAGGCTCTCCGAATGAAGTGTTGGAGCTTTCAGGCGTTAGAGCACAAAAGCGATGTCCCAAACTTTTACAGTCACCTGCGCCCTCCCTCTGCCAACGAAGGGTCTCTCTACCAACCACCTCCTCTCTAGGAGCCCTCCTAAGATCGGGAACGTCTCTCTCTCTCTCTCTCTCTCTCTCTCTCTCTCTCTCTCTCTCTCTCTCTCTCTCTCTCAGTCTCTGCAGCCGACTGGCTTCACTGCGAGGCCCGCTGCCCCACTCACGGCTGCGGCTGCTGCGCAAACTTTCTCAACCGTGCCTGCCTGCTGCTTTCTTTCTTCTGACAAGCTGCAGCTGCATCTTCTCGATTCCGCTGCAGCAGCCCAGACCTCAACCCCATCACAAGCCTCACGTCGGACAGCCCCACGCCAGTCCTGTTGGCATGGGCCGCAAAGGTCGAAGCATCTGTGAACAAGCACGAACCATACTCTTCGAATGCTGCGTGGAGGACTGCAATCGCGGACTTGCTCAGATGCATCTGTGTTGGAGCACGGCCATCAACATCCGTGAGCAGAACTGTCTTTCCGTCAGAGGTTCGGCCGCTGAAGTGACTCTGGAATGCCTCCTGAAAGACCTCTTGGCACAAACGGTCAAACGGCTGCTTCGGAACGCAGAGTTGGACGGCCTTCCAAGCCTTAGGAACACTCCTGTCCTTGACGCTCGCCTTGCTTTCACCCTTCGTCCTGGGCCCGCCCCGCTTGGGCGCTGGAAGGAGGCTTGCAAGGGCAACAGCTTTTTCGGCCGCCTTTTCGTGGGGGGCACTTGTGCTGTCCAGGCTGGTCACCGCCGCCCTTGCTTCAAGGTTGCTGGGGTGTGGAGGCTCAGCAATCTCTATGCCCTGTGGACCCAGGGCGGTGTCTGTCGCAGGCACCACAGAAGCAGAAGCCTGAAGTCATTAGATGTCAGGGTGTCACGTAAGCAAACAAGGTTTCAAGAAAGGCAGGCCTCCAGAAGACGTCGGACCAGAGTGGCCTTGTTTCCCCAAGCTTGTGGAGGCGTTCCTTCAACTTCGCAACAGTGAGCTTCTCGAGCTCGGCTGATGCCTGCCCACACGTGCTGGCATTCCACGACAGGGGGCTTAAACCCCGACAGGAAAACCAAAACAGGGTACCCGACAACCAGAGAACCTAACCCCGACAAGCATGCCAAGCACAATGCCTGACAAAAATGCGAAGCAGAAACGGTGACAAGAATGCCAAGCGCCCTCTTTGCGGGGCAGCAGTCTTCTTGTCCAGCGAAAGTGAATTGCAAGGCAAGCCTTTGGACTTCACTTCAAGCCACACCATCTCACTTGGTTGCAACAAGTAATTATTCAGGGTTTTCCTATATGCCTTCGTGAAGAACCACCTGCTTGGCTTGGTCAATTCGGAAAATCACAGCGTGACTCTGGTCAGCCCCAGCCGACCACTAAACTAATGCAACGCGGCGCAGCCGGCGTTCCATCTCCTGGGGAGGATGCCAGGAGGTATGCATCATTATCGGAAAGGAAGCTAGTGTTCAGCCTCTGCTTCGGCCAAGGCTTGCGCTGCCGTTGGCAGGTCTGTCAAGGTATACTTTTGCAGCACTGCAGAGAAATCCCGGCGCTCATGAACCTGCTTGAGGGCTTGGAGGGCTTGGGGTTCAGCGTGTAGGGTGTTTAAGTGTTGGGTAGGTGTAAAAGGGTGTTTGCGGAGGCAACCAGCAGGAGCGAATGTGCTGCTTGTGACAGCATCTCGGGCAGCCGTTCCGGACCCGAATGCTGATGTGGAGTTTCGTCTTCGTCGACCAGGTGAGACAAAGTTCATCTTACGTTGGAGACGTCTGGAGATGCCGACAGAAGCATAGCCCTAAACCCAAAACCTATAGTCCCTAACCCTGAACCCTAAACCCTTAACCTTTAACCCTAACCCCTGAGCCCTGTGCTATGTTCTTTGAGGAGCTGATAAGCCATCAAACCAGGCTCACTCCGGTGGCGCCATCCAGCGAGTACTGGAGGTATAGTTCTGAGCTGTGGCAATAAGCGCTTCCAGGATGTTTCCCCGTCTATTCATGCGGCCATGTGAAGATTTTTCAGAAGCAGCACCATAGTCCTTAACCGAGAGGGCGGACGCACTGATCCCCCCCTGCTCTGCGAAGCAAACAGCAGCAAACAAGGCATGCAAGTCACACAAGCTGCGAACAAGGAATGAAGTAGGCGCTGTCATTGCCCCTACTGTCATTGCCCCTTCCCCCCCTCCAAACACGGCGTGGGCACCAGGGTCCAACTCGACAAAAACTGAAGCCATGTCACCTCACAGCAGGGGAGAGAAGGGACGGCAGGGTTTGAAACCGGAACCAGCAGATGCTGAGAGCGATGTCCTATCCCTTGCACTATTCCAACAATTGAACCTTCGAGGTCAAAGGGCATGGGTTTTGCTCTCCAAGGCCCGCCTTACGACCACTGCTTATTTCCGAGATCCCTTCTACTTCCTTCCCCCTCCCCCAAATCAAAGGACAGCTGTTTTGCCCTCAAAGACCCCCTTTACGACCAAAATTGGCGTCCTTTGCTTCCTTTCCACCCCCCTCCTCCTTCCTCCCCCCCCCCCCCCCCCCCCCAAAGGACAGCTGTTTTGCTCTCAAAGAACCCCTTTTGGCGTCCTTTGCTTCCTTTCCACCCCCCTACTCCTTTGTTTTGCCCTCAAAGACCCCCTTACGACCAAAATTGGCATCCTTTGCTTCCTTTCCACCCCCCTCCTCCTTCCTCCCCCCCCCCCCCCCCCCCCCCCAAAGGACAGCTGTTTTGCCCTCCAAGGCCCCCTTTACGACCAAAATTGGCGTCCTTTGCCCAAAGGACAGCTGTTTGCCCTCAAAGGCCCTCCTTACGACCATAACTGGCATCCTTTGCTTCCTTCTTCCCTGAACACCCTCCTCACAGGACATTGCTGCCTAGATCTGCCTAGACAAGAAACCAGAAACCCCACCTCAAGAGCGGCTCTCGACTGCTGTCAGCAGCAGGTCGAAAAGCAGCAGGCCAGAGCCGAAATACTGCTGAAATACTGCTGCCAGAAGTTAGTCGGGCATGTGCGTTGTTATGTTGTTGATGGGTCTTCATTTGTTGTTGCAAATCTGTTCTTGTTGTGTCTTGGTCAGAAAACCCCTATTCATAAATCCATATAAGCCCTGTAAACGGAAGCACCTGCAGAAAGACCAGCAAAACCTGAAAAAACCCTATTCAAAGCCCTGAGACGGCCCTGCCCCGTTTGTGCCCCGGCACGCAGCACGTGCCCCGTCTGCCCGGCGGGAAGCGTCCGGCCAAGGCCGAGCAGTCCGATGAGGCGGGAGCTCCTACCACTTTAGGGAGCCCTTTAAAGCCCTTAGAGCCCTTGTTTAGGGGTTTAGGGGTTTAGGGGTTTAGGGGTTTAGGGGTTTAGGGGTTCAGAGGTTTAGGGTTTAGGGTTTAGGGCTACCCTTTAAACCATTTTAACCCTTTTTAAACCCTTAAAACCCTATGAACCCTGAACCCTATAAACCGCAAACCCAAAACCCCAAGAGGCCTTAGGGCAGCTCAGGGTTCAGGACTTAGGCATGTTACGGGGTTAAGTTAGGGGTTTAGGGTTTAGGGTTTGGGGTTCAGGGTTTGGGGTTTATAGGGTTTAGGGCTTGTAAGGGCTTCTTAAAGGCTTTCGGGTTTGAGGGCTTCAGTCTTGCAAGGCCTTGAGGGTTGCTACCCTAAAAAGGTACCCCACAGCCTGTCAGGTAGGGCTTGGGAGCTTTAGTGGAGTTCCTACCTGCCCGTAAGGTTGAAGGTTTAGGGGTTGTCTAGGGGGTGAGGGTTTCGGTTTAGGCTTTAGGGCTTAGGGCTTCCCAGGGCTTGGGGTCTAGGGTGTAGGGTATAGAGGTTACAGGAAACCAGCAACATGGTATCTTGAACTCCATGTTTGCACAGCCTCCCACACCTGAAGACCTTAAGGCCTACAACCTTAAACGTCCAAACCCCCAAATCCTCAAACCCTAGAGCCCTGAGCCCTGCAGCCCGAAATGCCCAACTCCCGAACGCAACAGCCGCTCCTCCTCCGAAGATCTTTGCGTGCAGCCACCTTTGACGGAGCCCGTGCAAGCTTTTCGGGTTTAGCGCTGGGCTTTTAAAGGTTCGAGGGTTTCGGGCTTAGGGTTTGGGGTTTAGGGCCTATGTTGGGGACCTAAACCCTGAACCCTAGACCCCAAACCGCCGAAACTTTTCCAAACAACTCTCGTCCTCAGCCTTAGCCCTGAACTCTGAATTCTAAACCCTACAGTAAACCCTGAACCCTAAACCCTGACCAAACCTGTCGGTCGACCCCTCAACGTTTCACAGCCTTAGGCCCTAACCGTAAACCCCTAACACTTCCAAACCTGAAACCCCGCTAAACCCAAAACCTTAGAAGCTGGCCCCCAAGCCCCAAACCCGAAACCAAACTCTTAAACCCAAAACCTCAGCCCTCATCAAACCCTCACCCCAACTAAGCTCTGAATTCTAAACCCGAAGTCCTCCAACTCTCAAACCATCAACCCTCATCAAACCCTAACACCTCAACCCAAGACTGCAAACACACTAATTAAAACTAAGCCCTAAAGCTTCAACCCCCAAACCCTCACGACATCCAGCCCCTAAACCCTCGAACCCTCAACCCCTCAACCCTAACCCTAAACCCTAAACCCTAAACCCTAAACCCTAAACCCTAAACCCTAAACTTAGAAACCCTAAACCCTAAACCTCAAACTCTGAAAGTCCCAAAACAGCCCCCACTCTGGGCCTTGATCCCCTCCTTGAAGGAGCTGCAAGCCGGCGCCTCCGTGTCCTCCCAAAGCCTCGGAGGCTGCTATTAGGGTTTAGGGTTTAGGGTTTGGGTTTAGGGTTTAGGGCTTCGGGTTTAGGATTTAACTCCAAACCCCTGCAATTTGGCAGGGCGCAACACCCCCGCAATAGTAGGAGGGCTCAGGGATCAGAGTGCAGGGTTAAGGGCTAACAGGTTGTGTTTATTGGGTTTGGGGTTTGGTGTTCAAAAGGGTTTGATCGAGGGCTTTAAAGGGGTTTACAACCTTTAAGGGTTTAAATTCATTAGGGTTTAGAGTTTTAGGGTTAAGGTTTTGGGCCTAAACTAAACCTTGACCCCTTTAAACCCTTAAAGCTCCTTTCAGCCCTTTCAACCATTAAAACCCTATTTTAAACCCTAAACTTCTAACCTCTTAAGCCCTCAGCGTTTTTCGGGGACTCCGAAGATTTGAGGGGGTTAACAAAGCTTCGGCGGGAGGCTTTCGGGGGCTTATGCTCTCAACACTCAACACTGAACCCCCTGAGTCCCGAGCCCTTTGAACCCTAAACCCTAAACCCTCGACACCCGAAACCCTCCAAACCCTGAACCCTGTAAAGCCTCTGGAACCTCTAAACCCTCAAAAAACCCTCTAACCCCTCGGAAACCTCCAAACCCTCTACAGCCACAACACTAATTTGAGAGGCCTTACCTGCAGCCTGAAGTCGCCAATTCTAAGGCAAAGAAAAACAAGAAACGCTTTCGGATCCACATTGGGTCAAGAAGGCGTTCTAAGGGTTTAGGTGGTTTAGGGTCCCGACTTCAGAAAAAGAGGTCTAAACCGTACCAGAACCACGCCGCGTGTAATATTCCCCAAGTGCCCGCTGCTCAGGGCCCTAGAACCCTAAACCCCAAATCCTAAACTATAACCTTGCAGCTCTATAACCCTAAAACCTAGCTCCAAAATCCTGAATCATAAACCCTAAAACCCTAAAACCCTAAAACCCTAAAACCCTAAAACCCTAAAACCCTAAAACCCTATAACCCTAAAACCCTATAACCCTATAACCCTATAACCCTATAACCCTATAACCCTAAACAGTCGAAAACTCTGCCAAACCTCACTTCTTGCCGCCCAAGCCACGCCCGGGCCTCTATAAAGAGGTTCTCCGCCATCTCCGGCCGGAGCTCTGCTAGGGCCTGCAATGCAAGAGGCTTATGTGGGGTTTAGGGTTTAGGGTTTAGGGTTTAGGGTTTAGGGTTTAGGGTTTAGGGCGTGGGGTTTGGGGGCTTGGGGGTTAGGATTTAGCTCGCAGCATCGAAATTCTTATGTAAAAGCACCTGAACACATAGGGGGGGCCATCCTCCGGTTTTGCGGTATCTAACAGCCCAGCATTGCGAAAGACATGAGAAGAACTGCTGCAGCTTCAAAACAATGTCACGTTGATCATCCTATAATAAGTGCTATAAGCCCTACAATAAACCTGTGAACCCTACAAGCACAAGCTATGTACAGCCTAGAATTAAGCTCTACAAGACCCTGAACCCTATACCCAAACCCAAACCCTAAACCCTAAACCATAAACCCTAAACCCTAAACCCTAAATCCTCAGACCTCAACCCCTAGCCTTACCAGCCCCGCGGCCCCCCGGGGCCTTCTTGGCCTCCAGAGCCCACCCTGAAGTGGGTAGATGACGGTTGGGGTCGGTTTAGGGTTTAGGGTTTAGGGTTTAGGGCTTAGGGTTTAGGGTTTAGGGTTTAGGGTTTAAGGGTTTAGGGTTTAGGGTTTGGGGTTTAAGGTTTAGGGTACACAATCCCTCATTCTGGGATTCTCATGTCACATATCCCGCCAATAAAACGGGTGTCCTTTTCGTTTTTAGAGGTCTGATAAGGAATCCTAACCCTGAAAGAAGGAGGGTTTAGGGTTTACTGGGCGTCCTAGCAAAGGTAACTAGCCCAGTGACAATCCCAGATACGATTCGCACATGTGAACGAGCACAATAAGTCATGAGTAAACAAACGAAAGCACCAAGACAACCATGTGACATGTGTATTCTTCTACAACATACTGGACCATCAGCCCCCGTGGGCTCTATGTTGGTCATCCACGCTTGCGGGGACCACACAAACAGTTTTTTCTATGGATGACATGGGTTTGGGCTAGTTCTAAACCCTAAACCCTAAATCCTAAACCCTAAACCCACAACAGCTAAAGAATCATTTCCAAAGCAACCCAGGTGTCGGTATGCTTCTGCAGCACCACGAACTGCAGGGCGATTGAGTTCCTGGGCGCGTGGAGACAACTCACTTGGAGCTCTCCCGTTTTTGGGGGACAATAGAGAAAGCCAACAAAAAGATTACATGAACACATCTACCCTGAAAGTGGAATTGTGAGAACACCAGGATCTCCGACCCAGTTTGTGCGTCTGCCACGTCCCCAAGGCCCATCCTACACCTGAGCCATGTCCTTTCTCCGGCTTTACTCTCTGATTCGTGCTGTGATGGGCAGCGCGCAACCGACCCTGCACCGCAGATAGCCAGCCAAAACAAAATATTGAATGACCTGGCTGGCCCCCCTAGAGTGTGCTTCTGCACGAGTCGCTTTTATGGGGAATTGAGGGGATTGCAAAGATCTTAGGCCAAAGTGGTGGATGGTACCCCGAAGGCTCCATGGACGCATCCGCCCTTTGACACACAAGGAAGTACATCGTGCCTTCTTGGGTCCAGGTGTTCCCTATAAAGGCACCTGAGCCTATTAAACAACCAAGCCAAATGCGAACACCCGCAAACTCCAGAGCCACCCACCACTCGCCCTAAACCATGCAGCCAGTCTATGGAAGAAGAACTCTTTTGAAAGAAGCCTCCCCAAAAACAGCCCAGAATGCTTGAGCACTCTTGCAAAACCCAAACTTTTGGGTGTCTTAGGCAGTTGCCGCTAACTGAAAGATGCAGAATTTAACTGCTTTTGGGCTCAGAGGAGTGGCCTACGGCTTTCGGGGTTTTGGGTTGAACTCTCCCATTCCCCCTCCCCCCTGCAAGGCGCCGTGACAGCGACGCCCTCGGAAAGGCGGAAGCCCTCAGTGCAGCCGTACTCCAGTGACTCCTCGCCGAAAGATGCTGAAAGTTTTCGCCGCAAATATAGGGGTTTAGCGGGGTTCAGTCGGGGCTTCAGATGGTTGAGGGCTTCATAGAAATGTCCTTCTTCCCTAAACCCTGAAGGCCCTAAACCATTCACCCTAGACCCTAAACCCTAAACCCTAACCCCTTGAACCCTGAACCCTAAACCTTAAAGAACCCTAAACCCTAAACCCTAAACCCTAAACCCTAAACCCTAAACCCTAAACTCTAAGAGTTTCCTGGACAATCTGGAGCAAGGCAAGAGCCGGCAAACCCACGACAACGCCCGGCATCATTTCTTCCTTGGCGCAGGAATAGGGTTTAGGGCCAAGTTTAGGGTTTAGGGTTGAGGGTTTAGGGTTTGGGGTTTGGGGTTTAGGGTTAGGGGCATAGGCTTCCCGAAGGGCCAATGTGCCTGTAGAGTACTTTGAAGGGTTCCGCTTTAGGGTACCCTACCGGCCATGACCCAGGATTGTCGAGAATAGTTGCCCAAACCTTCGGGACTTCACCCTAAGCCCTAAGCCCTCAAGACAATGACAAAACACGTATGTGACTCAGTTGGAGCTTGTTTATCAATATTTCGGAGTTGTTTGTCTAAACAGGCCGGCGCAGAAATCACACGCCCCACCCTATTGAATGGAAACCAAACAGCCCCGAGAAGGCCCGAGAGATCACGAGAATGCGCTTTCCCTAAATCCTAAACCCTAAACCGGATTTAGGGCCTATAGGGATTCAGGAGGGTCTTGGGAATGTTTTGTTGTGCATCCAGTCTGTTGAGATGTTTTGGCTTATAGAAATTGTACAAGGGTTGGGCCCGAGAAAAGTGTTGACCGAGAATGTTGACCGAAAGCTTCAGTTTTCGAACCCTGAAACCCCGAAGCCTAAACCGTACTGCTCTTGCTGTAATATTTTCGGCCAATTCCGGCCTTGCTTCAAGCCTATATAGTTGAGCCTTTGCGTGGAGCTTTGCGCGGTACTTGCGTGCTTGGACCAACACCCTAAACCCTAAACCCTAAACCCTAAACCCTAAACCCTAAACCCTAAACCCTAAACCCTAAACCCTAAACCCTGAACCCTCTGAAATTTCAGAATGCATGGTGGGTTGGCAAGCAATCAGGTTTAATTAAGCCGATTGAGCATGTCAGGGTTTGAACTTAACCCTGATTTAAACTTCGAAACCCTCAACCCTAAACCCCTAAACTCTAAAACCCGAAACCCCAAAAAACCCAAACCTTGCCCTACACCCCGAAACCCAAACCCTAAACCCTAGACCCCAAACCTTAAACATCATAGCCTGGTAAGGAGAGTTTAGATGAAGGCTCGAGATCATCCCGAGTGAGCCACTGCTCGTCGCGCTTCATGAGCTCCTCTGTGGGCTGCGCGCGTCGCGCGCAGAGTAGGGGTGTAGGGTTTGGGGTTTGGGGTTTAGGGTTTAGGGTTTGAAGTTGAGGGTTAAGGGTTCAATGGCACTTGACTAAGGAACCTTCTTCAGCCGGGCTCTGGGCCCTCATTGTAAGTTAAGAATGGCGTCGTCTGCTGGGAATGTTCCTATAGCTAAGAGCCATGTAGGGCTCAATATGCAAATTGTTGTCAAGACTCATGAAGACATAGGAATCAAAAGGGTGCCACTTTTTAATTCAAAGGGCCTATCAGGGAACCTAATTAAGCCCCCCAAAAAGGGAACAAGGGCCTTCTGGGCCCTAGTTGTATAGGTCGCATTTAGTCTTTGGGCGGATCATTTTCACTGCGCCCGCGACATCATGTAGACCATACTCAATGTCGAAGCAACCTCGGAAATCATAGAGTGGGAGGCATGGGTTGCTTTAGGGTTCAGAGTTTAGGTTTTAGGGCCCGAAACAAAGGCTTCGTTTTAGAGTGCAGGGTCTACCTAGAGCCCCCCCCCCCCCCCCCCCAAGTACCCTCTTGAAGATACCCCCAAGTACTCCCAGAAAGGTAACCTGTGGTCCTTACTAATCGGTTCTTCGGGTATATATAGAGGGCATCTCCTCGTTGGAAGAAGACCCCAGTCAAACCTCGCACTATTAGCCTGATAAGCCTCGAGCATACACCAAAAGCCTTAGCAGATTGCCTTGGTCTTGGCTAAACCCTAAACCCTAAACCCTAAGCTCTAAGCCCTAAGCCCTAAACCCTAAACCCGCCGAACCCCAAACCCCAAACCCTAAAACCTAAACCCTAAACCCTAAACCCTAAACCCTGAACCCAAAGCAATCATGACAAGAGCCTCTCGGGTTCTGAGGTTGGTCAACAAACAAGGCCCAAGTAGCTGCGGTACGGAACCGACTCAGGATGAACGCATGGGTCGCTGGGGTTCTCAATCACCTCCGGTTTGAACTTCAAGCAGAAGGCAGCTCGAGGACCCCAGGGGCCCAAGACGTTCAGATGCCTCGCGATCATGGTCGGCATGTCCTTGAAAGCGACCTGCTGGAACCTGCGCGAACGCTGCGTGCTGACCCTTTCAAGAAGCACTGCATGTAGATCAGACCCAAAACTTGGCCTAAACCCTGCCGCCCTACAGAAGCAAAGCAGATGGCCGAGCCCAAAAAACATCCCTTACTTTAGGCCGCGGAATACAGTGCCTGTCCCATCCTATTTATGAGTACTAGGAATACGTCCTTCTAGGACTCAAAATGGAACCCAGCTCTTGTTAACGATGGAAGCGGACCTCTACAACAACAGAAAGGAAAAAAGGCACCACTGGAGAGCTAACAAGGTTCACTCTAAGCCTGAACCCTAAAGCTTAAACCCTTCACACGCCTGAGCCCTAAAACTCAAACCTTAAAGTCGTGCCAGGGGGCCTCAACCCCAATACCTGCGTGACCGTGTACACGAAATCTTCCGGATGCTGTACACGGTCCAGCTTGGGGTCGGCATGCATGCCTCAGAGCCCCCCAAAGCCTACATTTGCAAGGGTTAATTTTCCAGGCTGTTGCTGGGGGGTAGGGGGGGGGGGGGGGGGGGGGGGGGGGGGTCCTTTGAAGGGGTATTTCTGGGATTTTGGGATGAGAGTTCCCGAAACCTTAAACCCTAAACCCTAAACCCTAAACCCTATAAACCCTAAATCCTAAACCCTAAACCCTAAACCCTAAACCCTAAACCCTAAACCGCCGAAGGGCAGTTGACCATGTCGTAGAGCCGGAAGAAGGACGGGGCGGAGTCCTGACCGACCACGAAGGCTTTGTCGCCAATCTGACCTCATGGGCTTAGGGGTAGGGTTTAGGGTTTAGGGTTTAGGGTTTAGGGTTTAGGGTTTAGGGTTTAGGGTTTAGGGTTTAGGGTTTAGGGTTTAGGGTTTAGGGTTTAGGGTTTAGGGTTAGGGTTTAGGGTTTAGGGTGAAGGGTTTGGTGCTTAGGGTTTGGGGCTCAGGGTTTCAGGGGGGTGGGGTAGGCTTTCTAGGGTTTTGGGTTTAGGGGGAAGGCTAAGGGTTTAGGGTTTGGGATTCGGGGTTTAGTCTGACCTGAGTTAATCAGGCGAGAACCAGGGTGGACAAGGTGAACCCTTTGGGTTTTGTAAGTGTCTTATGATGCCGAAAAAAGTTAAAGCCCGAGGTGTGCAAAGCGTGTCCCCGGCACTGGGGCGTGAAGCATGCTGCTATCCCCCCCCCAAAAAAAAGAAGAGATAAAGCTTACATACGCAGTAGACCCCAAAGCCTAATGAAGCCGTAAACCCTGAACCCTGAACCCTGGGCCCTGAACCCTAGACCCTGGACCCTGAACCCTAAAGCCTAAACCCCAAACCCGAAACCCAAACCCGAAATCCAAACCCTAAAACCTAAACCCAGCAGATGAATGTCAAGGCAGCGACCCGGTGGCTCCTCTACCGGCGCCGCTTCGCAGGGGTGGGACAGCGAGTTCAAGGCCAAGCCATACCTGGCACCCAGCCTAGGATGCCCTGGATGGTTCGGGGGGTTGAGGGTTTAGTGCTAGAACACCCAAAACTCAAAACCCAAAAACCTAAACACCCCGCTCCCCAAAATATGGTAGAAAACACACACACACACATATCCAAACATGCAACATTGGATCGCAAATAACCCACCCTCCCTTCCCCCAAACAAACGCCAAATAGGACATAACGGCAAAAGACAGCCGCAAAACAGATGGTAGGCAATTGGTGGACCCAGGTACACTGACCGAGGATCCGGAAACATCTCGAGATGCAGGTCTGCGACCCAATGCATCTCCTCTCCTAGGTAGGCCAGCAGCCGTGTTACAAGAAGGGTACCCTATTCTTCTGTTGGTTAGCCCTATAAAGCAATCCAGAGCCCGCAAAAAAAGGAACAGAAGGTAGCACTGTGCTTCCCAGTCTCTCTGCCACAGTACATGGGTGTACTTGTCACTTGAGCCCAGCTTGAGACCCTCCTGGAGGTTTCCGAGAATACGGGTTCCCTTTTTGGGCTTCCTGCAATAAGTCCTCTAAGAACACAATATTCCGGGAATTATTCAGGGGTACTGTAAGGGGCCTACCCAAAACCCTAAACCCTAAACCCTAAACCCTAAACCCTAAACCCTCCCCATGTTCAGAAACACAACTCCTCGGCCACGTTCCACAGGAGTTGGACATTCTTGTAGGTGAGGCGAGTCCGCCTGTAGTTGAGGATCTCCGCACTCCCTTCCCCCAAGTAGCCTTACTTCTCGAATAAAGGACCAAGGAAATGAAAGGTTAACTTAAAATTATTCTTACTAAAGAAACGAGCCTAAAAACTGAAAGTTCAACTATTGGCTAAGTGAGGGTTTCCGAAATTCGGCCTACCTTATGGGGGTCCTTCATATAAGGGATTCCTACTGCCCAACTTTCCTAAACCTTCAAGGTAAGTGGCGGTTGCACCCCGGCAGGGGAGGATCCTCCTCGAGGCCCGGGTTCTTGAACTGGAGGTTCAGGGTGCTCGCGCCGAACCCGCGCGCATAGCTGGCCACCAGGCTCAACACCTCAGGGGTAGCATTTGAAGGGGCCCTATAAACAAATAAATACGTTTATGGCTTTTTTAAGGATTATATTAGGGGAATACGGGAATTTTTTTAGGATTATATAGGGGGGGAATAAGGGAAAGAAGAAAGGAAAAAAATATGTTCAAACCCACCCCTGACCTGCCCCATGCTGGCATTGACAAGCTGAGGGTTCGGCCGGGATCGGTTCCTTGGTAGCCCAGTAACCATATTATAATCGGGGCACCCTTGCTTGGGTTATTGTATAAGGAAACCCATAACCCAAAAAATGGGAAAAGGGTGCTACTGGGCTACAAAGGTTCTCAAGCTTCCTTCGGTTGAAGGTGCCGCCGGCCTCGTCGGGGTGGCGACCCATGGTGATCGACGGCCTCCAGTCCAGCAAGGCCTTACTGCTGGCTAGTAGGGAATGCGGGAATGACCCATATCCCCCTACATATACCCTTTAAGAGAGGTTTTAGGGTACCTCCTTCCCCCATTCTCTACTAACCAAGAGTAAGAGGCGTGGTAGTCCACGCGGTAGCCAGCACGAGCTGCGGGCGCCACCACATGCTTGAAGGCGCTTCGCGGATAATACCGATCCTTGATGCCAGTCACCAACACGGCAAGGTGGCCACGTTGACTCGGCTGCTCATCGAAAATGCACCGGACACTAAACTCGCTAAAGATGCATCCTTTCTCATCCATCTTCACTTCGCGACTCAGGACTCGTGGCTCCTCTTGATACCCTCGAGCTGGGCGGCGCGGGGGCCTTCTCGTCTTCTTCTTTTGGCGGCGGAGGCGTTCATCGCACCACTCGACCGCGTTGCGACCCGCTGCTCTCCGAAATCGGGTCTCTGTCTTGGGCAAATAACGGTAATGATAGCAGTCATCAAGGGTTGGCAGCCCCCGAATGTACAAGCAGGTGCACCACTTAAACTTGAAGAAAAATGTCCTGCGATACAGGAAGGCCACAGCGTAGCGCCGGCGGAAAGATTCCCAGGAGATGCTCTCATTTCTTTTCATAAACAACATACCCTTCTGGAGCACTCGCCAAAAATCGTTCGAGATGCCTCAGGGCTGCCCGCAGACAAAGCAAGAACGCCTAAGGCAGTATGACATACATCCAAGAGAGAAGCCTTTCCCCGCGTAGTACCGTTTAGGGTGGTACACGAGAATCTTCTTATGACTAACCCACCCAAAAGACCTACATTAGAGCCTTCAGGTAAACCCTCAACCCTACCCCGCCTCCCCCTCCCCCCCCGGCCCCCTCGTAAGCCCTGAACCCTAAACCCTAAACCCACCTTCCAGGAGACCGTCCGCTTCCTTCTGCACGTTCAGCAAGTCGTAGAGACCAGTCTCGTCAAGGCGGCCCTCCACAGCATACCAGTCCTGAAAACCCTTCCGACCCAAAGGGGGTTTGGGGTTTAGGGTTTAGGGTATATGGCAGGTACTTGGGCCTTAAAGCGGTTCCTAAATAGTAGCTTTGGGGCCCGAGTATATACTGTATAGTTACATGGACACTTCTGGCTTGCGGTTTGGGGTTTGGGTTTCAGGGCCTAGGGGGGTTATGGGTTCAAAGTTGTTCATGTTTCGGTGTTTAGGGGCTCAAGGGTTTAAGGTTTAGATGTTCAAGATTAGGGCTAAGGATAAAACTCTAGGCCCCGCCCGAGCTCAAAACCGCACCCTCTTTCACACACCTCCAGAGCGTTTTTGCCTGCGATCCGTGAGGAAAGGCTGCAGCAAACATGAAATCCGAATCCCTTGATAGCCCTAGACCCTGCGCTGGGAGCCTCAAGCCGATTTCCGGACCCCAAACCCGAACCACCCTAAACCCTCATGCTCCTCATGCTAAGCCTCCCTGGAGCCCCAAAAGGAATCACAACTTCAGCTCAAGCAGCAAAAAGGTCTTGTAGACTCGGCTCGGCGTCCAGTCGAAGTCCATCCACAGGGCCATAGGGCCACCGGCCCTGTAAAGGGGCCCCCAAGTACCCCCCGAAAGCCCTAAAAGCCCAACAAGCATCCCGAAATCCTAAGCCCCAAACCACAAATCCAGAAACCGTCCACCCCTCAATCCTAAACCCCTGAACTCTGGAGATCCTTACATCCCTACAAGATTGATTGAAGCTTCAGGGCTTCGGGAGATACCAACAGCACCATGAGCCCTGAGCCCCAAAACAGGGTAGTTCCATGGTCTCTTTGTAGGCCTCAAGTTGTGCAACCTTCTTGTTGGTCCCCGGCCTTCTGATCTTCTGAAGCCGTGGCCAGGACTGCAACGGCAAAGAGCACTGGGAGCATCGGGGCTGCCCTGGCCTTTCCGGGAAGAGGGGGTGGGGGGAGGGGGTGCTAAACCCAAATCCCTCCCCTAAACGGTAGGGTAGTGGGGTATTCAGAGGGATGATAACGGGACAATATTGGCAATTATTTAGGCTCCTGTGTTGGCTGTCGAAAGTGCTTGGCTCCAGGGAAGGCACAAGAGTTGGGCGCTGCCCAGGCTAGCAGAACGTCATCCAGTCATTGGACTATTTGATCCAAACCCAAAGCCCTAAACCTAGACCCTCCGGACCCTATAAGCAGCACGATCATGCACGTGTTCCGATTGACGGTCTTAGAAGGGGTTGAAGCCGCAGACCTGCGAAATTAATGCCTTTTTAAACTGTTTGTGCTTCGCAAGCCCCAAAAGCATGCATCTTCACAACTATAGAACCCTAAAGCATCGCCTAAAGCTTCAGAAATTGCAGGTGTTTGGGTGATTAACTACCTCCTGTAGGGAAGCTTAGCAAAACTCTATATAGGAATCAACTTCACAGTTGCTTTAGGACCCACAAGTACGGCCGAGAGTTTTTTGGCAGGAGGTGGTCCCCCCAAGAAAGACTTTAGTCTTAAGGGTCAAAAGTCAGCGGCGGGGACTTGTTGGCCAAACTGGCTGGTGCAATGCAAGGGCAAGGGCAAAGGCCGGCCAGAACACCGAGCTCTGAAGAAGGGTACTTTGACTTGAAAGCCCAGTGGTACCCTTTAATTACCTTTTTTGGTTATGGGTTCCCTTATACAGCAACCAACCCCCAAAAAAGGGTGCCTTTATTGTCACATGGTCAAAGGGCTACAATTTGGGATGTTCACCCTTATGTTAACAGTCCTGAATAGGGATTGTAGTACCCCAATTATAATCCCTCTTCAGGACCGTTACTAAGCCCCCAAACCAAGCCCTGTAGACCCGAACCCTAAACCCTAAACCCTAAACCCTAACCCTAAACCCTAAACCCTCAACTTTAGGGGCCTGCCACTCCCAAGGCTTCGTACGGCCGGCGGCATCTCCATGGCCATTGCTGTCTGCTAAACCACCCTTAGGGTTTAGGGTTTAGGGTTTAGGGTTTAGGGTTTAGGTTTAGGGTTTAGGGTTATAGGGTTTAGCCCCTTAGAACCATCAAAAGCATGCGATAGCTTTAATGTCCCCTTGGGCTTTATAGAAACCTCCCAAAAAAAGAAGCATAGTGTACGGTATCCTGAAACCTAAATTCCTGCACCCTACGGCGGCTAGTGCACGGTCTTAGGGTTGGCAGGGCTTCATGGACAGCTCTAACAGTATATATGCCATAGGGTTTAGGGTTAAGGGTCAAGGGTTTAAAGGCTGAATATGGCTCTTCCCTGCGCTAAGCACCTGCGGGGTCGGCGAATCTGAGCTGTGCTTCATTTCTTTGAGCCGGCTTGCACGAGCTTGCGAGGCCCATGTGAAGCCAATCCTTTCGAGCCCCCAAACTCCCAACTGGGCTTTTAAGGAACTTAAACTAAGTTACCATGCAAGGCTTATCAGGCAAGAATATTGTGCCCACACGATGGTGTACAAAACCAGCCACCACGAACTCACGAGGCTGTCCCGACTTGGCTTGCGACAGCCATTTGGGGGTTGACGAAAGTAGGGGGCCCCTGAGATAGACCCCGAAATAGCAGGATTCTCTTACAATAAGGACCCCCCGCATTAAGGTACCCTAAACCCGAAACCCGAAACCCTAACCCCTAACTTCAGAAACCACCATTTGGCTGGGAGTGAGGCAGGATATGAGTCCCCAAAACCTTTCAGCCGAAAAGCTACAGCAGCCCGAAGCGGATGAAACTTATGGGGAGGTTCCCAAGAAAGGGGGTTTACGATATTAGGGGTGCCCTTTTTTGGGGCCCATTTAGGGAAATTCTATTCTATTTGGGGTGTAAAAGGCGTATCCCAAGTTTGGGAAATGCCCAAGATGTGGGAACCCCTTTCTCAGGGTTCCTGTAGTAAGGACTTTTGCCGTTAGGGGTGCATAAGGGACCCAAATCAATCCTTTACACCCCGAGTTCGTCCAACCACAGAAGCCCCAGAATAAAACCCCATGAAGCCTCAACCCTAAAGCCTATACAAGCCCGAAACCCCTAAATGACCCTACTAAACCCTGACCCTAAACCATGACAGCCCTAACGCCTCAATCTCAAAGTGTCCTAAACGCCCATGAGTAGAATGACCCCAAGTCCTAAACCCTAAACCCTATAAACTATAAACCCTGCAAACCCTGTAAACCCATAAACCCTATAAACCCTATATACCCTATAAACCCTATAAACCCTATAAACCCTATAAACCCTATAAACCCTATAAACCCTATGAACCCTGTAAACCCTAGACCTTAAACCCTCCCCCGCCCCACAAACGTGGTCCCGCCCCACGTTGTAGCAACGCAGAAAGAAGATGTCCATGAGCCCCTCCAAGTCAGGTGCCTTTGAAAGGGTACAGGGTTTAGGGTTTAGGGTTTAGGGTTTAGGGTTTCGGGTTTCGGGTTTAGGGCTTACTAGGGCTTCGACGAACTTTTTAATTAGGGCTGATTAGAGGCTTGAATAGGGCTGATTAGGGCTTTAGGGTCTTTTTGGTCTCCTGAGGGATCGTGAGGGCTTATGATGGCCTTTGAGGGCTGAGGCCTTAGGGTTCAGGGTTCCGGGCCTAGGCTTCGTGGAATGGAGGGGTGAGGATGGCGAGGCAAGGTTGATTCTTTTCAACGGGGAAGGGGGAACCCCAAACCCTAAACCCTAAACTTCAAACCCTAAGCCCTAAACCCTAAACCTTAAACCTTAAACCCTACCCTAAACCCTGAACCCTGAAGCCCGAACCCTAAACCCTAAACCCTAAACCCTAAACCCGAAGCCCTGCCTTTACGGGCTCAGGCTCCGTGGCCAACAGCGGAGCCGCTGCGGCAGGGGCGCTGCGCCAGTACTGCGACTGCCAGCGCTGCGACCAGAGGTCTGTGCAGAGCTCCTTTTGGGACTCAGGGTTTAGGGTTTAAGGGGGTTCTGGGTTTGGGCTCAGGGGCCCCGAACCCTAAACCCTAAACACGACGGCAGGCCCGAGGCGTTGCCAAAATATGCGTGGAGGCAGTAGAAGCGTGAAGGCAGTCTAAGTCTTCCGGTGACGTGGCTTAGGGTTTAGGGTTTCGGGTTTAGGTTGCATTCTTTAGGGCATCTGGCTGGGCGAAAGCAAGAGAATCTAGGCCTTTGGGGATTAGGGTGACACCGCTTGAGGCGTCAAGGAGTGATGCAGCCGAGTCTCCCTCATCCAATCTGGAAAGATCATGCACATGCTCCACCAGCACCTGCACCCTAAACCCTAGACCCCCTAAATCCTACAATGCAATGGATGACTGGCAAGGCTCGGGCAGATTCCCTTCGAATTACCTTCATCGCTTTGGCGACTAGCGCAACACCATGTGTGCAAGCAACCACTTAAAACTTACACCCCGTCGCATTGCAGTGATGAGGCAGCCAGTTATCGAACGCAATAAAAGCATGAGTACCTGCCATGGACCATGGTGCCATGGTTCTTTCATGCGCGTCGCCTACACAAGTATTCTTCCCAAGGAAGAATGGCACCCAGTGCTTCAAATACATGGATCCAAAACCTCCAGAAGGGTTTAGGGTTTCGGCCTTAGGGGATCGTAGGGGGATCCTTAAGTAATATGTGTATGAAGGGTTTAAACCGCAAACCGCAAGCAGCGGGCATCTAGGTACTGGATTCCCTCCCTTCACGGGCTCCCTGGCACTACTTCGCGAGTTCCACCAAATTTTGTCTGGTTGCCCACCTACTTGTGACGAGATACCCTGCTTGCTTCATGGGGCTCCGCTAAACCCTAAAACACGGCAATGGGGTACTACTGGCCCACCAAGTATCTAAATTCAAGCCCATGGATTGGAACCATCTGCTCCAAGAAGCTTACTCCTCTCCAGTAGGACTGAGTCAAGAAGCTGCAGGCTGCACTGCCCTCTGCCCGAATGGCCAAGGCACACCGCCAAGGGGACCCCACAGAGGACGCAAAGAGCCACAAGTAGCAACATGCCTTGGACTTGCTGCTTGGAGCCCAAATTTGGGGGGTTTCCGAAAAAAAGGGGTCCCTTAGCAGGGGGTCCTTTTTATAGGGGAATCCTAGTATTTGAGGTCAAAATTATTAGGGGTCCCTGAATTTTCTTCGTAAACCCCCCATTTAGGGACCCTGGCAGATGTTGCTGTGACTGGTGGCGACAACAAGCAAGTTGCATTCTCTGTCAGGGCTGCGCTGCTGAGTGCCGCTGTGCCATCACACACTAAGCACTCAGGATCCATGCACCTATCACCTGAAGCTTCGGGTTTCGTGTTGAGCCATGGGAGAGCTCACTGGCCGGCCAGGTGCTGTAGTGCCCCAGCAACGCCGCCACCACGCCCATCAGCAGTGAGGAGCCTCGACCGGAAGGAAGGGATCAGCTCGAGGTCAATATCTCTAGACATTCGGCGGTTTTTCCAGACAACTGTGTCTACGCGGCAACCCACGTCGAGCAAAGCCGTAGACAAATATCTATCTGAACTATCTACTGTCTACGTATTGCACAATCGTGAAATGAAGATGTTGGATCTAACTTATGTTCAACGCTTAGATGCACTGCTGGTGAATGCAGACTATAAGTCATAAAGCGTCAAAACCCAAACCAAGATGGGGCCCGGACCGGATAACAGGGCAGCGATGTCAACCAGTGAGGCGTCGCGGTTGCCGCGTGCCTTGTGGACTCAAGAAGGCTTCTAGCTTTTGAAAGGGTTCGAGGCGGCTGGTGCCAAAATCGCCACCTGGTAGCTTGCTTTTTGATGTAGGGTTTTGAGGTTTGTTCAGTTTAGGGATTAGGGTTTAGGGTTTAAGGCTTATTCAGTTTAGGGTTTAGGGCCTAGGGCCTAGAGGTGATCTTGCGCCTAGCAAAAAAACAGGTAAGGCTCTGGGGGCGGTCTGCAGTTTGCATTTGTGCAACGCCCTGACAAAACCTGATGGCTCAAAATTTGGAACTTAAATTCGGCACTTGAGCTCTCACATCCTCAACCCTTTAAACCCTAAACCTAAAACCCTAAACCTAAAACCCTAAACCCTAAACCCCAAACCCCAAACCCCAAACCCAAGAAGTGTTCAGGCCCCGGCCATCACCGGCATCAACAGCAGGGACCCCACACAGGCCACGAACGCCAACTCGCAGGAGTTGCTGACATAGTCGTGGATCCTGGGTTTAGGGTTTAGGGTTTAGGGTTTGGGGTTTAGGGTTTAGGGTTTAGGGTTTAGGGTCCAGAGGTAAACTAGCTACCACACTTGCCTGCGACGAAGAGAACCAACCTAGGGGAACCTCCCCAAGAGAGGCAGCACTCAGGCTAGCGCGTTCGAGAGAGAGAGAGAGAGAGATAGATAGAGAGAGAGGGAGAGGGAGAGAGAGAGAAAGAGAGAGGAGAGAGAGAGAGAGAGAGAGTTTTGGGCCGCTTGGGGCACTTCATGATGGGCTTGCGGTTGAGACCAAGCTGGCCAAACACCGTGCACACAATGCACTTTTGAGTGCAGTCTGCAGGATTCTGAGTATGACCTTCTTGAAACGAAGAATGGGCAATGTAACATATCCCAAGGGCCGTAAAAGCTAAACCCAAAAAAGAACGACGTCAGAGATAGTGGCGAAACCCTAATCCCTAAACCCGAGCCCTAAGCCCCTTAGTGAATGGTTTCAGGAATTCGAGCTGAAGCTGAAGAGCCCCAGGCGCAGCAGTGAGAACAGGGAGCTGAGTGCCAGGACGATGACCGTTGCCACCGTCATAACAAGGACGGATGCGAAGAACCTGTGGAAACGAGACTATGAAAACAAGAAACAGGACATGGATGTTATGGATTTTGCATGTAGGCCCAACTACATGGTGAGCTCCCACTGGATCCTTATATACTACGGCCCCCACAATTCTCAGGGTACCTGCCTAAGCGCCCCAGACTGTAGAGAACCGACCAGATGAGGATGCCTCATTATCCCATTTAAGGTGCTGGAACTTTTTTCTTGTGGGGGCGAGGGCGGAAGGGGGGGAAAGAAGGGGAGGGAAGGAGGGGGCGGTAGGGTTGCTTTGGCGGAGAGATTCCTTCTAGGTTGCTGGGGAGGGGGTCAAGCATTTAGGGTTCGCTGTAGGGCGTGGGGTAAGTGTTCGGGCTGGAAGGCATTTGTACGTACCGGTTCTGGTTGGCCCTGAACAATAAACCCTAAACCCTAGACCCTAAACCCTAAACCCTGAACCCTGAACCCTGAAACCTAAACCGCCCAGGGGCAGGGTGGCAAGGAGGTAGCCGACCAATTGGCCGATGGCATCCGTCCTTTGGGGGACGGCTGTCTTGGGTGTAGGGTATGGAGTTGAGGGTTTAGGCTTTAGGTGTTGGCTATGTGTTGAGGGTGCTACCTATTGTCTTAACATACATATATAGATGCATATGTATGTATATATACATATACATAATACTAACCATAGAATATTAACTTACATAAACAAGTTGCAGTTACTACAAGCAGCGGGCTTGTCTCACATCAGGTCGCGAGAAGTACACATCGCCCCATTGCGGACGCTACATGGCGGGAATACACATCAGCGGCGGAATTACACATCCGGGCACAGCAATCCCCAAGTAGACGTTGGATTTTAAGCAAACAGCCAACATGGGTCAAACTGCCGGAGTTGCTGCAGACGAAAGCGTTTTCAGCGCGATGTTATTGCACTTTTGAATGACGACGAGGCCGACTTCGACGCATCATACTCTGGGGAAAGCAGTTCCCCAATGTGGACACCGATCTCTTCGACACATCAAGAGAACTACTCTGGGGAACCCCAATGTGGACGGATGCCGATCGATACATATAAAAAACCGAGCGATGCGAGATAAAGCGACTACGTATACAATTGGAGCTTAGCTGAAGAGCGAAATAGTCTGGCGGATTTTTTCGGAGCATGTTACGGGAGCATCTTGGGTTACAACCTTGCTTGGGCCCTTTAATTACGGGTGTAGGGTTTAAGGTTTAGGTGAGCCACCTAAGGTTCATGTATGGTCGAGGGGTTTGACATGGGACCCATTATCTGAAAACCTTAGACACAAAGGTTAGGGTTTAAGGCTTGGGGTTTAGAGGTTCTCTAACATGTAACATCGAGTGCCTTCCTAGGCGACCTTGGAGGGAAAGATGTTGCTGACAAATCGAACACAGCAAGTTCTCTGATGTTCCAATCAAACCCGCCTATACTGCGCGAGCCCTAAACCCAACCCATCCCCTATTCGCCCCCAAGCCCCACTGAAGCTACCCCTAAACCCTGAAACCTGACCCTACACCCTAAGCCCTAAACCCTAAAACCTGTACCTAGAAACACACCCGAAGGGCCGCAAGCATCTCTGCGAGTTTCGCCTCTACGCCGCGCCAAAGAACGAGGGTCAAGTGATTAATATAGGGGTCGGAATAATTACTATTCCTTTAGGGTTTGTAGTTATACTATAATCGCCCCCACAACCCTATTCTAATTATTCAGGCCCTTGTATTAGGGTTTAGGAACTACAAAAAGGGCTTTGGGTTCTCCTAAGCCCTAAACCCCAAACCCCAAACTGTTCTTTTGACCTTTCTTCCCAATTCCAGCCACGGCGCAGCCATACTGAACAATTCACCGTGTCCATGGCGAGAAAAGGGACCGAGAAAACGATACTGAGGTCTTTCAAGGCAGGTAAGGCTAAGGATCCAAGAGTTGAGGGAGCTTAGGGACCCCATGCCCTAGCAGTCTAGGGGGTGTAGGGTCACAGCTGTTTGGGGTAGCCCAGAATTGAAGATTTTGTGATCAAGGGTTGGGGTTCAGGGATTAAGGTGCCCGGAGTAGCCAAGGCACCCTTGAAAAGGGAGAGACGTACCGTAATTCTTGGGTACATTTACCCTCTTCCTACAGCAAAGGCATAGGGCCGTGGGCCATAGGGTTACCCCAGATAGTTGCGGTTGCGCGCTTTGATGCAGGATGTTTGTTTTTCTTAAAATTGAGGCTGAAGCTGCCACAGCACAAGCAGCCGAGGTGGGGCAGACGCTGAGTATCCGCACTAAAGTGCCTAAGAACCACCAAAGACAATCCTACCTGTAGATAGGTATAGGGGATTAGGGCTCAGGAGGGTTGGTGTAGTTTGCGGGTGATTACATCTGTGGTATTCAGATGCAGCAAAAGCCCCCAGATATAGTATCTTGGAAGTGGTTGCTAATGATGTCTTAACCAAATCACCAATTCAAAATTATTTTCGAGAGATCAACTTAAGAATATAACTTCCATACCCCTCCTTTGCAAACAGAACCGACTAAACTATTGCGCAGATGACAACTTCAGCATACATATATATATATATATGATGTAACTAGCGACATCAACGAACATGAAATTAATACGTTGTCCGATACATTTCCCCCCCCCCCCCCATGAAAACCTACAGATACCTCACCTGTCCGTGTTAAGAAGTAGTTGGGCCTTACAGGGGTTCCTATATCGTAGATCTATCGGCCCGTGTACATACGACGGTCACTTCTCCAACATGTGGTCCCTTTCCGGGTCCTTACTATAAGGCGGCCCGTCTTCTTTAGGGTACCCAAACAGTGACCATAATTTAGGGAAATGACCATGCACCACTATATGCTTAAGAACCCAAAAGATTCTTTTAAACAAACCCCTATATTACCCTTAATCAAGAAGAATGTTTTTGTATTTTTCGGGATTCTTAAGCAATTCGTAGTGCAGGTACATGGTCCCTTGGGGTATGTAGCCTGCCTCATTGGCGAGGCGTCCCGCCACGGATGTTCTTCACCCGGATCTCCTCCGAGTCGATGTTGATGGCCTGGCACATGTTTAGGGTTTAGGGTTTAGGGATTAGGGTTTAGGGTTTAGGGTTTAGAGGTTGATCCAAAGCAAGGCCTTTGTGGCAACTTTTGCGGTCTTTCTTCATGGTCTATTCCTTACATAAGGGTGCCAAAGGGGGGCCTATGGTTTAAAGGAAAGTATCCTGAAACCTAGACCCTAAACCCGAAACCCTAGACCTTAAACCCTGAGTGACTTGGTTGCGGGTTGTTGGCACATGTCGGACACAGGATGGGGCCAGCCTCGGCAAACTTCTCGGCAACAAGTCGCTTGAACGTGTCCTGCACGAAGAGAACGTAAACCCTAAACTCTAAGCCTTGAACGCACTTGACCACGCAGAAGCTGGTGGTTGCAAGCTTTAGCCTTTGGGCATCTTAGTAAGTCTTACTACGTGAGGGAGGGGTTTCTAAGTGCTTGGGTTTGGGTAACTATATATGCGGGCGCATTTGCGTTTGCCTAAGTCGAACGGCTTGAACTCGAAACGACACGCCGCGGCTCAACAGCCTCTAATTCTGGACCCAGCAGGCGAACGAGGAAATCAGCAAGAACTCCTCACGTAACCCCCCTCCCTAAGCCTAAACCCTAAGCCACACACCCAGTACTGTCATCTTGGGGGCTTGCGCTGCAAGTAAAGGCCAAGGGAAGACTATATGCAAAGAGGCATATCGTATCTGTGCAAAAAGGGTGTATTTTGAATATTGCACCAGGGACCCCACAAACAAGCCCTAAAATCCTTAAGCCTAACCCCAAGCCCGAACTAAAAATACAGGTGGCAACATCTGCTCCCTGCAGCTCACGTTCTACTTCAAGGCATCGCCCGAAGGGTCCATGTACATATATAGTATGTGCTTGGGCCCTAAAGCTACTATAGGGGAACTCCTTTTAAGGCCCTAGTATATACTGAATACTACATATGCACGTGGATCTTCGGGTTAGGGCTTGAGGGCTTTATGGATTTGAAGGGATTCAATGGGCTTTAACACGGCTTGGAGGATTCTAAGGGCTATCAAAGGGAGTTATAGGGTTTAACGTGTAGGGTTGCATCCCTAAACCCTAATTAAACCCTATAGACCCTAACCCTCACAATCCGAGCATGCTGTTCTCCTGGTCTCCCAGCACCGATTGACGAAGGCCAGCCACACGCACCTGACCAGGGAACTGAGTGGGGGCCCCCTAAAGCATTCTGGGCTTTCGTATATATGTATGAGGTATATACATTTTCGTTTTCTTTGTAATCCCTCTGAGGGTATATCTCAGGGTGATACCAAGGTACATGAATTCCCTCATGCCCATACGAAGAACCTAAAGCTGAGAAGGAGCCTTGGTATGTTTGTAGTAAGATACTGCTATTTGCTTAAGAACCCCAAAAGAAAAATGGAATCCCTGTATTACCCTGAGTAAGGAAGAATAGTTTGTTTGTTCAATTCTTCGGGGTTCTTAAGCAATTAGTAGGATAAGGCACCCTAAGAGGGCCCACACATTTGAGAAGGAGGCCCTGACGGCTGTAGGGCTTAGGGCTTAGGGCCAAGCATATACTATTGATGTACCCTAAATCCTAAACCCTAAACCGCCCCCAAGACTGCAATACTTGCAGGCCTTACGCCCCCAAATGTAAGTACTGTTTTGTGCATGGGGAGTCCCAAAAGTGCCCCAAGCCCTAAGCCTCAAAAGAGGACTCTCAAGGCTCCTAGAGGCCCTTATGAAAAATACCCTAACTCCTAAAAATCTAACCGTAAAGAACCCTTCAGGTTTGAGTTTGTTCCTATGCCCCTAAACCCTAAACCCCAAACCCAAACCCTACACCCCAAACCCCAAACCCTAAACCCTGAGGCCCTGGTCTCCTTCGCGGCACGGGGGGGGGGGGGGGGGGGGGGGGGGGGGGGGATTAGGTTGAGGTTGTGGGGTTAAATGTCGGCAAGAGCCCACAAGGAAGATATGAAAAGTACAGTACATATCTATATATATATATACACACATACCTTTGTTGTGGGTATTTGTTGATGTGTTTATCTGCTTGAATATCATGTATATCGAATTATATATTAAAAATGCTTGTGTGCAGTATAGAAGTACAGAAGTATCTACGTATAAACCCCGGATATATCACAAGGCCTTCACAGGCTTCGGCTGATGCGTGTCCAGGAGTGCCATAGCAGCGGCCACTCGCTCAGACCAGTCCTGGTTCGCTTAGGGGTTTGATGTAGTCCGTTGGACTGTAGCTTTCAGGGGTTGGAACTATACTTTGTTGTTTTTTTACGACAAGACTGGAGAAGGCTCGAAGTTGCTAAGCAGAATGCACCGCGCATCCTGAGATCTTGAAGCAGGAAACCCAACCGACACATTAAACCCTAAACCCTAGACACCAAAGCCTAAGACCAAGCCCTAAACCCTACAGTAACCTGTAAACCCACCTTTTGACACTCCAACGTCCTAGGCCCTGAACACTCGCACTAAACCCTGAACCCTAAACCCAAACCCCTAAGCCCTAATGCCCCATACCTGCACCTCACCTAGACCCAAATTAACGGGTACAAGGAGGAACCCCTGGACTGGACCCTTAATCGTATTCCCTATACATTCAGTAGCCCCTAAAACCCCTAAAAAAGCGCTCCTTTAGTCCCTTGACAAAGTCACCTGGGAATAATAGGGTGCCCTTTTTGGTTTAAAGGGGCTTGATTACAAGGGAACCCGAACCCTAAAAAAAAGGGGAATTGAGAGTATCTCTAAACCCAAAACCTAAAACCCAAAACCCAAAACCCTAAACCCTAAACCCTCACACCCCTAGCTCCTCCTGCTCCTCCGGCTCCTCCGCCGAATCCCAGGAGCTCTCCGAGCTGGCATCCCGGTGCCAGGCCTGGGAGGGTCTTGCCTAAAGCAACCTGCAAAAGGATTGAAAATAGAAATGTAAACAGTAGGGTTTAAGGTTTATAGGGTTTAGGGTTTGGGGTTTAGGGTTTAGGGGTTTAGGGTTTGGAGTTTGGGTTTCACGGCAGGTAACTGGCTCGAGGGTGATCGTCAAACCGTGTAGGAGGATGCTTGGCCTGAAGCCCCAAAACTGCAAGATGGGAGCAACCCTATACCTTATGAACAATGGAAGCTGCGCATAAATAAAAATGCGAAAAGCAGAGAAAGCGGTCGCAACAGATGTCGAGGTTCTTCGCATGTTTGCTGTCAATATGCACATGACGGAGATGCACTCTTGAACCATGCAAATGGTTTGTTTGCATCAACCTTTAACCTAAAACCTGCCACAATTTTCCAGAGAGTTTGTGGTGTTGGGGCGTGGCTCGGCATTGCCTCGACGGCATGCGTGCGCGCGTGCGCGGGGTGCAGTTAAACGAGGATCTTTCGGGCTCTCGAGGATGAGGGTTTAGGGTTAAGGGTTTAGGCTTCAGGGTGTACGTTGCATGCGCTGCCCGAGAATAAGACCAATCCTTCCGGGCCCCTCCCCCCCCCGTCCCCCGGATGCTAAGATAAACCGTGGGCTCCCATTGCCTGAGACCGAACAGCCCGTGAACATCCCTTCACCACCAGGGACTTTACGTACCTACAGCTTCGTGTGTTCTACCGTCTAGCTGAGCTAAGCTGCAGGGAGTAGGGTTTTGGGAAGCTCACCACGAAAGCTTCAACGCCCCTCCGTGCTGTGCTGGCGGTCAAAACCGGCGCCTCCTTCTCAGCACGTAGCCTCTCGAGCAGCTCCTGCTCCAGTGGCAGCTGGGCTGCCTTTGGCCTGGGTTTGGGGAAAGGGTTTAGGGCTAAGGCTGTCGTCGGGTTGGAGCTTTTCAGGTCGAGGCTTTTGCCCGTAGTTTTAGGGCTGGCGGCTGAGTAACCCTAAACCCTCCTAAACCCTAAACCTTAAACCCTAAACCCTAAACCCTAAACCCTATCAGAACAAGGGGAGTCCTTTCAATCCGAGGTCAGGGAGCGAGCGCACCGGAAGAAACGGAATAGAACGTGGGTGTCGACAATCCTCCCCCCAATATTAACGCCCCCTAACATTACATATCCATTGGTTATCGTAATCCTAGATCTTAAACTCTAAACCCTGGATTTGCGACCTACGCCCTCAATCCTAACTGGGGACCTAAACCCGACGGTTTAGGGTACCCGAAACCCTGAAGCCTAAAGCCCCAAAAGCCCAGAACTGGACTGAGGGCTTCACGAGCGCTGGAAACTGTCGGGTTTAGGATTTAGGGTTTTAGGTTTAGGGCTTTCTTGGGATGTAGGGTCTTGGGGTTTACGAGGGCGTCTTGCGTCCCTGAGGCTACTTCCAAACGCCACGACCCCTCCAACCTTAAAATGGGTTTCGGGTTAGAGTTTAGGGTCTCAAATTTCGTGTTTCGGGTTTGGGGTTTAGGGTTTGGGTTTAGGGCTAAAAACCGAACAAGCACATTTGGTGTCCAACGGCCCGGCGCGCTCCGCCACCGTGGTCCGCCGCTGCTGCAGGCAATCCGCCGCCAGCGCAAAACGGACTTGGAGCCTCTTTTGGTTAACCGCTTTTAGGGCTCAGGAGATGGTGAATAATCACTTCTCAAATTACGGCCCCTATTCCTTCTCAGACTTTGCATGTGTTGCCTTGTGGCCGGATACGACAATGCCTCAGAGCCAATAGGCCCCTTTAGGAAGCCACACAACATCCAAACCCTAAACCCTAAATCCTAAACCCGAAACCCTAAACCCTGAACCCGAAATAAACCCCAGCCAGCAGGCCCCAGTTTCTGTTCCGACCACGAGCCGCCCAGCAAACCTGGGATCGGATCTATACTCTAATCTCCGAAGGGTTGAGGGTTTAGGGTTTAGGGGGGGTTTCCGAAATTAGGGGAACCTTATTGGGTCCTTATACTAAAGGAATCCAACTAGTTGGGGGTCTATATTCAGGGTCCCTTCTTTTCGCAATCTCCGTGATAGGAGGTATATGAACACTTTCAGGGTTTCGGGTTTGGGGTTAGGGCTTCGGGTGTAGTCCCGAGAGATTGCAGAGTGCACAGTGAAACAAGGCAAGGGTGTCAGTTGCCTTCCCTGAACGATGTAATTACAGCAACGTTGTCCTAGGTTGCCCTGTTAAACCCTATGAAATTTCTTCCAAGATACCGATAAAGAGGTCTTTTTCTGCACTTTGGTCAGTTTTCCCCGTTGTAGCGGTATCAGGAAACATTAAGCTTATTTATCTTGCGAAAAAGCTTCAGGCAAACAAGCCCTAGCCAAGCTCAAATGTATGCCAGCTGGTAAGTCTGCTCGAGAGTTTGTGTGTGTGTGTGCGGAGGTTTGGGTTTAGGTTCAGAAACCCTAAACCCTACACCCTAAACCTTAAACCCTTGGCGAATGAGGGAATTAGGCACGGGTACCTTGTATCCCCTACATATACCCTTTACGGGATAATATAGGGTACCTAATTCCCTCATTCCCTACGAAGAACCAGCAAGACTAGCCGCTACATATTTTACCCCATTGAACAAACCCTGAAACTCTGAACCTGGAAGCCTGTCCGCTGAGGTCCCTGCTTGTCCCCTTAACCTTACACCCTGAACCCTAAACCCTAAACCCTAAACCCTAAACCTGAGGTCCCTGCTTGTCGCCTCGGCCTGGCCGGCATCAGTGGAAGGTCTCGCCAGGCTCGTAGCAAGACTCTGGAAGGCGGCGATGCTGTTGGCCAGGCTCTTACCTGATTGCTGGGTTGGCCCTAAAAACCCTCTGAAAAAATATTCCCAAATAGGACTCTCTCTGAAACCCGCATCCTCTCCTAAACCCAGAAAGGGTAAACACATCTATCATCCCAAGGGCCTACGCAACACCCACAAAAACTCAGGTACATATCCCGATTGCTGAGGACTTGGGTTTAATGCCCCCAACCCCCCTCCACCCCCCTCCGCCCACTCTGCCCCAAACCCCTGCAACGCCATCCCTCAAAATCCCTGAACCCCTAAACCCTAGCCCTAAACCCTAACACCCTACACCCTAAACCCTACAACCCGAGACAGGCTGCATTCCTCGTCCAGCGCCTTCTGGCAAGACTGGAGCTCCATCCGCTTCTCCGGGCTGACCTCATAAGGAAGGGACAAAAGGGTCTGGTAGGGCTGACCACGACCTGCTTTAGGGGTTGTGAAGGCGTGCTTAAGGGGTTATAGGGGTTGAGGGTTATGAGGGTTATTGAGGCTATTGGGGTTGTGAGGGCAATTGGAGGAATTGTTCGGCTTACTTGAACATTCATGGAGGAGGTATAAGTAGGGGATACAAGTAATGTAGCCCATAGTATAACCCTAAACCCTAAACCCTAAACCCTAAACCCTAAACGTTAATAGGTTCCTCAACCCCCGCTGCCCCCCCCCCCTACCCCCCCCTACCCCCCTAAACTCCGGCGCCTCGTCCTCCAAGGCTGTCAGCTGGTAGACGTAATGGCCAGCTTCTTGCGCACACCTGCAGCTTAACAAGGCCCAAAACCCTAAACCCTAAACCCTAACCCCTAAACCCTAAACCCTAAACCCGAAACCCTAAACCCTAAACCCTGGCCCTAAACCCTAAACCCTAAACCCTAAACCCTACGCCCTAAACCCTAAACCCTAAACCCTCCAAACCGGTGTCCGGCCGTTGGCCTAAACCCTCAACTTCGCTGATCGCTGGAGCATATTCTTCTGGGCTCTTGGGTTTAGCGCTTAGGGATTATGGGGTTTGTAGGGTTTAGGGTCTCGGGGCACAGGCCCTGAAGCCAGGTCCTAAACCTGAACCCGAAAACCCACACCTCGAAGCGACGTCTTCCGCATGCTGGACGACATAGTTGCCTCTCCTGGCAGGGGTTTAGGGTTTAGGGTCTGGGCGTTAGGGTCGTTTCGATACATAGGGTTTATAGTATATAAGCAACATTTGGGCTCCTCCTATTCAACTGAGAGATCAAACTCACGCAAAATACTCAGGGACAGGGATGCACACCGATCCTTTCACCCGACATAAACCCTAAACCCTGGGTTTTCGGGTTCCCCCAAACACCCTTAAGGTTTAGGTTTACAAGGTTTTAGGGGTTCGGCCTTAGTTCATAGGAAGAGCCCTTATATAGGTTAAGGCAATATAAGGGTCGGCGAAAAACAACCCCAAAAAAACTATTCTGATAATTCAGGCCCTGCTAGTCGGTTCCTTATTTCTTCCGGGCACTTGTTGCATCCTGGGTTTTTAGGTGTTTAGGGTTGAGGGGTCCAATGACACCAACAGCGAACGCCCGAAACCCTGAGCTTCAGCTAGTGATGTCCCCAAACCTCCAACTTTCAGCCCTACAAGAATCGACTGTTTAAGGTCTTTGGGTATAGGGTGTCTGCGCCCTGAACCCCCAAACATACCGCATCCCGCGCCTCAGAAGAAGCTCGTGGGCGCGGGCTTCTTTCCTGGGTGGCATAGCTGGTCACTTCCCTACATGATGGGCCCCTGAACCCTAAACCCTATATAAACCCTAAACCCTAAACCCTACAAACCTAGGGGCTTTCTTCTCGGCCACCAAAGCTAGTTTGGCCCATCGGTTGTCCCAACAGCTGCCCTTCATTATCTTTCATCTCCCCCGCCAATGATGCTGTTCGAACGAATGGCACCATCTACATACTTGACGCTGGAGGAAATATTCCAAAATTGCAGTGTGTGCTTCTGGAACTTCCCTACCTGCAATCAACGAGACCATGCTTCGAGTCAACAGCCGTTTTTCTCGCAATGAGGCTTGCAGTTGCAATGTCTCCATACTTTTTTCGTGGACCTGAAACAGGGCAGATCGCCTCCTCTAAAAATCACTTCCTAGGCCCTAGTCTTTGCTCTAACTTTGATACATGTACATATATGTACATATATATATATATATGGATATGGTCGGAATAATTGCTGGTAGTATTCCCTTATGGTCCCTATATAAGTATGCTATAAAACCGCCCCCCCCCCCCCCAAAAAAAAAAAATAATAAATAAAATAAAAATAATCTAATTCTTGAGGCCCAAAAATTCTTCCTGCTCCAAGGATCCGGAAGTCTTCACTGGTCCACCACTGTGCCTTTCGGGTGTCCTTGCCGGGGGGGGGGGGGGGGGGACAGTCGATGTCGCTAAAGCTCCGCTGTACTTCAAAAGACCCGAGCTGGATGCCCTTACCTGTTGAGGGTTTAGGGAGTAGGGTTTAAGGTTTAGGGCTTAGGGTCACCATGGTGCTCAACTTCGTTCTCATATTGTGCATCCTAGCACAAAGGGTTCCAAACGGTACCCTAAGTAAGTAGTTTAGGAGAACTCCCTTCCTCCATCTGCTGGTTAGTCAAGATGTGATGCCGATCCTAAAGCAAAAGCACTATGGGTTTAGGGCTTAGAGGTTTTGATGGGTTTCAGGTAAGGACCGAATGACCGATAAACCTTAAACCGTATTCGCCCTAAATCCTCTAGCTATAGTGCCTTAGGGATTAGAGGTTTCGATATGCATGATTTAAGGTGCCTAGGAGTTTAGAGCTCAGGTGTTTAGTGGTTTGACTGTTTTGGGGTGTATGCAGCCCGCCCCCCCACCCCCCCCCCCCCGCCCCTCCGGGCTTAGGGCCCCCTGGCTCCTGCAGCGCACTTCGCTGCACTGCGAGCGAGGCCATGCGATCAAAGGCGCTGGCCGTTGCCACTTTGAGAAGCCTAGGGCTTTATAGGGTTTGGGGATTTAGAGCGTGGGAGGAGTACCCTGAACCCTAAATCTAAACCCGAAACCCTAAACGCTAAATCCTAAACCCTAAACCCCAACACTTAGATTCTAAACCCTGACCCCTAAACCCTAAACGAAGCAGGTGTGTTATGCGCGGTTGGAAGCAGTGTTTCATGTCTGGATCTTCGACACACAGTCAAGTTTAGGGTTTAGGGTTTAGGGTTTATGGTTTCTGGTTCAGGGTTTCGGGCTTCGGGTTTAGGATTTACGGGGCCCAGGGTTTAGGGTTCTAAGTCCCCTCATCCCGATTTGCATCCTACACGGCCCCCACCCCAAACCCTGAACCCTTAACCCTGAACCCTACACCCTACCAAACAGTCATCAGCATTAGGGCTCAAATCCCAAAACCCTTCCCTGCACCCCGCCCCGCAATCCCGACTTCCCAAAAGCCCAGAGCCAGAGCCCCTAAAGAACTACAGATGCATGGTTGACTCGCGGCGCTTCTCACGCAGCACCTGTTGATCCCCATTAACTCTCTCAACTGCTTGGAAAGATCTATGTGCTTTGCTGCCACAGGACACAGCAGGCTGCAACATCTCTCTACGAGTTCCACTGATGAATGGGATGGGGAACCTGTTAGGCAACTGAATACCAGTAGGCGGCCACATCGAGTGTCTTCTGCACTTTAAGCCTGCGCTCTTGCGGCTGCCCTCTAAATCGCGGATCCATGTCCAGCAGGGCTCGCTTCAAGGTCTCACTCGGCTTCTCTTTCAGGGGCAGGTATTCCCGAAGGATGCATATACCTATGTAGCAGATAAATTACTTGGGCTTCAAAGGGGGTTCCAAATAATAGCTTTAGGGCCCAAGTATGTACTATGTAGGTACATGGATTATGTAGCGAAACCATCCCTAAACCCTAAATCCTAAACGTTAAACCGCCCCAGCAGCGACCCCTGAGACAGCTGGGGAGCCGTGTAGACGACGTCGACCATTAGTTAGGGTCTCCGAGCTTCTTGGGGTGTTCCCTTCATATACTCCTAATGAATGTGGCCCTGATATTCCCTTAGAGGATCTTGAAAAAGGGTCCCCAAACCCAAGGGTTCAACATCAGGGGTCCAGGGTAGAATCCCATGAAGCTTATGGGTTCAGTTTAGGGACCCAAACCCACAGGGACATGAAAGGCTTGGATATCCCAAGGCCTAAACCCCTAGAAGCCCACGAAACCCTAAGCCTTGAGAAATCTTAAACCCCCAACCCTAAACCCTAAACCCTAAACCCTAAACCACAAACCACAAACCCCTAGAAGCCCTAGAAGCCCGAAGCCCGACTGCCGAACCGTTCAAGGCCTTGCCGCAAGGCGCCTTATGGCAAGAAACGACCCTAAACCCTAAACCCTAAATCCTAAACCCTAAATCCTAAACCCTAAACCCTAAATCCTAAACCCTAACCCTAAAGCCTTAAACCCTAAACCCTAAAGCCTTAAACCCTAAACCCTACACGCTAAAACCTAAACCCTAAACCCTAAACCCTAAACTCGACCCCACTGCAGCCATGTAGCCTGCGATGGAACGCATCCAGGTGCTCGGCGCGCATCTGCCTCTCGACTTGGAAGCTCTGTAGGTTGAGAAGGATTTGTGGTTCACATAAAGGGTTAGGGTTTAGGGTTTAGGGTTTAGGGTTTAGGGTTTAGGGTTTAGGGTTAGGGTCTCGGGTTTCATGTACAGGGTTTAGGGGTCTAGGGGTTCAATAAAGGGTCTAGGGTTTCATATAAAGCGTTTAGGGGTCGAGGTGTTTAGCGCTCGAAGCCCTCCACCCTCAACCGATGGCCTCAAGGATCCATGTGCCTACACAGTATATACTTGGGCCTTAACGGGGGCTGTGGCCCAAGTATATATGCTGGACAGGTACATGGCTCCTTAGGGAACTAGGCCTTGGGATGTTCTCCCTAACACTAAGAGTCCTTAAAAGGGATTACAATAAGGGGGTAGTAAAATCTCTATTAAAGACTGTTCGTATAAGGGGGAACATCCCAACTTAGGCCTCACACTGAAAGAATTGAAGTTGCAACTGTGGCGCTGCAGCTGAGCTTCCGAGACCGTGAGGCGCAAGCTGCGGCCTCTCAGCGGCCACGTGGATTCTTACGGGCTCGACTAATTGAATAGCTTAAGAACCACCCAAAAACTGAATAATATTCTTCCTCATAGAGGACAAAATAGGGATTATCATCTCTAATTTTTTGGGGGGTTCTGAAGCAAATAGTAAGGCTAGTGCGGGGGCTTTCCGCTATATGCGACCTCAAGAGCTTTATTATGTGACTCTGCTGGCCATGGAGCTACACCCTAAGACCTAAACCCTAGCATGCTCGACTCTACTCGTACACTTTTTTCAGCAGAAAGCCCTAGTCTGCAAACTGATGTAGAACATCTTACACGAGCATACTGAGGAACACTGTAGGGATGCGCAATGGGCATTGTTAGGGTGAATTCAGTGCAGTTTCATGCATGCGAACCCAAGGATAGTATGCCGTAATATTCAGCAACACAGGCCAGTGCCTATGGAAGACTGGAGAGGGGCCCGCGACTGTCCGCAGGCCAGCAACTACTTCAACCACGACGATACGAACGAAGATGGTCTGTGAAGCAAGCCTGACCATACAAACACACATAGACATGTATGTGTAAGCGAGAGAGAGAGCGAGAGCAGCGCATGAAGCTTAAGATTTGGTTCGGCTTTTTCGCAAGCCAGCACTGCTTGTGCAAGCATCCTCGCTGCGACAGATGCAGAAGAGTCCCAATGGCCCCTTGTGGCATGAATCCTTTCTGTCTCGCAATGCTGTGCTTGGTTGGTTTAGGATTTGGTGGTTTAGGTCTAAACAACCTATGCCAAAATGGCATATGGACTTGGGGACACTGCCGAGCCCACAAGCGAACCCTACAATGCCCTGCAGCCATCAACTTAAGCACTCTAAGAGCCCTGTGGGCCTGAAGACTGGTCCACCTCAACGCCCAAGTCTAGCTCAGACAGCAGCCTGCGAGACGTTTGGGGATGCTGAGGGCGGCAGGGGTTGAGGTTTCTGGCGATGTCTTGGGGTTGTAGGGTTCTATCCCCAACCCTAAACCCGCAACCCTAAATTGGGTTGTAGGGATGGCGAGGGGCCTGCAATAGGGTGTTAAGATTTAGGGTTGGAGGGGTTGGGGCTTAGGGTTGTAGGGCTGGAGTTCGTAGGGATGCAGGGATTGGGTTAGGGTTAGGGTTGTAGAGTTCCATTTCAGGGTCGGGTTTACGGTGTGGAGTTTGGGGCTGGTTTAGTTTAGGGCTTCTGGGATTTGGACCACGCCCGGGCTAAATATTCAATGCGGTAGTTCGAAGGTTCGGACCTCGAAGCACATAGTTTTCAATTGCACAAAGTGCAGGGAACTGCAAGTAATATAACTTGGGCTGTTCCCTCTTATAATAACAGTCCTTAATAGGGACTATAATAGGGGGTACTACAATCCCTACTAGGGGCTGCTAGCAGAAGTGGGAATATCCCAAAATACAAGTAATGTCCATCACACTCAATTCTGTGAGGCACATAATTGCCGTCCATCTTCCTTGCAGAAAGTGTATGTGTCTGTTTTTAGACGTATATGTATGTATCTGCATACAGCCAAGGGGTTTAGGGACCTAGCACAATACTGGGGAGTTGAAGGATTTGGGGATGTATGTCCTCAAAACACCATCCTAAACCCTAAGCCCAGTCACAAAGACCCTGAACCTCGAAAGCCAAAAGCACACGAAACACGAGGAGCCCCTTGACCGAAGCCACAACCTCTATACTGAGTTCCTGTTCGCGAGCAAAAGAAGGGTTTTGCTCCGGCGAGCCCAGGGATAAGTCTACATCGTCGGCCAGCTTCTTCGCAAAACGCCCATCTGGCCCATGCGGTGTGCGCGGCAGCGGCGTCCCAGGCGGTGTTGCTGCTCCAGGTCCACTCCACTCGGAGCAGGACGCGCGTCTCTGGCCGCTGGCCAGTGGCTGAATGCATGCTGGACACCGTCCGCAGCGCACGCGCCGTACCGTCTTCGGCTTCTTGCCTCCACCAGCTTCCACTGCCGCCGTTACGCGCTGCAGGTAGCCCAAGACTGCCTGCTCGAACGGCACCGGCGGCTCGGGCTTGTGGCGCATCCCGCGGCGTGATAGCTTTAATATAGTAGCTTCGTCCACGTTTCGAAATAATAACCCCCATATAAACCCTAAACCCCAAACCGTGTACTTAGAGTTTACCTGAAGGCTCTACTGTAATTCCTTGTTGGGTCAGTTTGCAGGGATTCGAGTATACTACGTCAGTTGGTACTGCGATAGGCGCCTTTAGGCAGAAAGGTTTAGGGCCTAAAGCTAAAACCTCCAAGCCATCATCCGCCTCTCCAGCGCACGGTGGCTCTCTGCAAAGGCAGATTCGAGGCCCTGCCGGCGCAGCAGAGAAGCAGCCGCGTCTGAGATGGCCGTTGAGTCATACCCAAAACCCAAAAGCACTAAACTTCGGGATGCTCGGGTGGTTCCGGTTTTGGACTGCTTGTATTGGTGCTTCTGGGTGATTTTCGGCTCTTTTGGTGTCATGGGACTTTCTGGGGCTTTGTATTGCGGGCTGCACCCTAGACCCTTAACCCCGTTTCATGGTTTTTTCTGTGAGGGGTGAAAGAACTTCGTGGACTTCAGGTTTGGAGTACCTGAGCCCCGTTGAAACCAGTGTGTTGGTTACTTGCGGCACATGTGCTTGGGGGTGGGGGGTGGGGGGTAGGAGGATAACACAGTAAGCAATGCCCAACATCCCGCCCTGAACCGCAGCTGAAAGGACACATCCAACCCTAAACCCGAAACCGGAAACCCAAAACCCTACACCCGCCTGCTTCAGCTGCCCTTTCGCGGGTTCGACCTCGGACCAGGCTACAAGCCCAAACACCCTGAACGGCAGCCTTTTTTGCCGATATCTGTCAGGTTCATGGATGTGAGGTTGAGGGTCCATTTCGGAGTTTATCTTCTTTGCTGGTTTGCTTGCTTGCAACCTCGGAAGGTACGCTTTTCAACAGGTAAAGTTGCGGTAGGTAAACTTTACAACAACCACAACCGCGACAGAAGTACACCTTCCAACAGCCACACAACCGCGAAAGTAGATACTTTTTCCAACAACAAACCCCTACCTAACAGCATTACCCCCCCGTAACTGGGCAAGAGAGAGAGAGAGAGAGAAAAATAGAAAGTGATCTAGGAGCTTAGGGTTTAGGGTTTAGGGTTTAGGGACGCTGAAGGCAACTTTGAAGCTCAGAGCGGGGCTGGGTCGACGCGGGATCGCCTGCACAGCTCCCGACCCCCTTCTCCCCCCAAGCATCAAGCTTCCCCAAGTGCCCATGCACCCCCCCTTTTGCACTTGGGCCTTAAGAGGGATTCCGAGTAGCTTTAAGGCCCAAGTATATGCCATATAGGTACATGGGCCCTTAGGGCTTGAAGTAAGGCTCACAAGGCTTAGGGTCAGCGAAAAAGTAGCTACATGCCCGTCTGCCTCCCGACTCACCTCGCGGCCTGTACACACACATACGCATACACGTACGAAAACGCATGCGCATGCACATGCGCATGCATAGAAACACAAACAAACACACAGAGTGTAGGTAACGCAAGGTCTTCCTAGGTTCACTGAGCGGGACGAAGCTGGGCCCTCAGCCTACAGAAACCCTTGCCCCTTAGGGCTTAGGGTTTAGGGTTGTCAGTCAGAATGTCAGATCCAGGGTTTCGACCTCGATCAGAAACACCTCCAAACACTCTAGAACTATACCAAAAATCCAGCCTGTCAAGCCCAAACCCCACACCCAAAACAGTGCTTCTTTGGCCCTTATTGAGAGGTAGGTTATAGAGCCTAGACACTGAAAGCACCATGTACTCCCTCCGGCCCCAGAAACATGCAGACTTTAGGGTTTATGGTTTACGGCTTAGGGTTTTGGGCCCTTGTTAAACCTTATAATCACCTTAAACCCTAAAAGCACACAGACACAAGCCCTAAAACCCCGTCCTGGGCGGAAAGAGTGGAGCGCCGCGAAAAGCGAAGCCGCGCGCGGCGCTGCGCTGCGTCCTGCAAGGGGTTTTCGGGCTTAGAGTTCAGGGTTTAGGTTACGTTGACGGTTTAGGGTTTAGGGCTCATGGGGTTAAGGGTTCAGGTTCAAGGTTCAGGGTTCAGAGGTTTTAGGTTTTAGGTTTCAGGGTTTAGGGTTCCGGGTTTAGGGCTCAGGGCCTTCGATATGCTAGTAGAAAAAGGGGAGGAATCATAAGAATGGTAGTAAAAATGGTGGTTGCAACGGTAGCCGATACGCCCCAAAAAACAAAAAGGCAAAATGGGCCATCAAAATAGGCATTTTGATTGGATTGCCTGGCCCATCAACCCTATAAACCCTACAAACCCTATAAACCCCAAAAACCCTCTGTAAACCCTAGAAACCCTAAAAACGCCGCAAACCCCACAAACCCTATATAAATCCTGTAAAGCCTATACGATAAACGCAAAAAACCCTCTAAACGCCATAAACCCCGGTAAACCCTCTAAATCCTCCAAACCATCTAAACCCTCTAAATCCTCCAAACCCTCTAAAGCCCCTAAGCACTCTAAACCATGTAAACCCTATAAAGCACAGCCCTAAATCCTATGAGCTCAGTCCCCCAAACGCTCTGTCGTTTAGGGCTTCCGGTTTTGGAGGGTCAGTCTTTGAAGCTGGAGTGTATGTGATTGTATCATTCTTCATGGCATCTGTTCATCGGTTATCTTGTCTCCCCTTATAGGGACGCGGCAGGGCCTCCGCTACGACGTCGCTGGGAGAATCATCGGTAGCAACTGAAGACCGCCGTGCTTCCGGGGCCACTTTCTCCGTCGCCTGCCAGGATGGGCTATTCTGCCCTGTAACCCTTCAAAAAGGCCCTTTATCGGGTTGATTATGGGGATTATATAGGGCCCCATGGCCCATCCTGGTGGTTTATCGGGTTGATTATGGGGATTATATAGGGCCCAATGGCCCATCCTGGTGGTCCTGCCAATCTGGGCAGCCGAGTTAAGTTAAACCAAAAAGGGCAGTACACGCTGCTGGTTCACAGAAGGTCACTTAAGCACCATCCTATATGAAAGTATGCATGTATATCAGCCTGTATGCATGCATGTATATATACATATGGTGAGTGATGAATATATGTATACAGGCCGAGACAGGCGAGGAAGAGAGAAACAGAGAGAGACAACAAAACGAAACACGACTTATGACACTAAAGCCTAACGCAAAACACACACTAGGCAGATGGCAGCGCATGACTGGAACATGCGTTTTAGTGTTTCAATGTTGAGGCAGGCAGTGCTCGGACGGAAGGCAAGTAGCTCGCCCCGGACAGACAAGCCACAAGGCTTACAGACAAAGACAGAACCATGCGCAAAACACCCTCGAAGCCCCATAACCCCTTAGACTCTCAGCACAAAGCAGCACAAATCGCATATGCATGACGTCAAAAAGTGGGCCTCCTTCCCCTCATCTTTTCTCAGTGAAGACTTCGGTGCTTCCGGGACCCCTTTCTCCGAGAGATCGGGCGAGCTCGGCTTGTCCTACCAGTCTGGGAAGCAGAGTGCAACAAGAACAGCTAGTATAGATGGCAGGTTACAGGTTCACAGAACGTCGTCGCACGAGGCCGTGAACAATCAGCTTGAACATGAGAATTAACAAATCCAACCATGTATGGCTTCATGGACCACTCCATACATATATATATATATATATACATAGAGAGAGAGATATATATATATATATAGAGCGAGATTTTGAACAAAGGCTCGACCCCAAACGGTCTAAGTCCGCTTCAAATGCCCTCCAAAACGCCCCGACAGACTTGCAGGGGGCCCTATAGGCGGGACTGCGATTTCACAAAAATGCGCGCGGGACCTCTGCAAGATCGCGATTTGGCCCCCGCAGTGAGACCTACAGCATGCTATTCACGATGTTCGGGACACCTCCTGATGTTTGCGGGCTCTGAGATGCGCAAGCCGCCTGGGGGAGAGCGCCAAGGGCACGAGGAAACACCGAGAAGTCGGGGCCCACAGGAAACACCGAGAAGGTCTTCGACGTCAAGGCCCCATGTGCCATCCTTTGCCTACGGGCACGTCACGCCACAACGATCTCTACTCTCAAGGTTAGAAGAACCCCCCCCAAAAAAAACAAGCGTGTTTGGGCAACAAAGCAACGCATTGGGTGGCTTCCAGAGCCGGATTCGTTTTGCTGTTGGGCAGCTTCCATGTTGAGGAAGAGAGATCGCAGGTAGCTCCAGACAGTCGAACTATAGAAGGCCTACAAGAAAGAAAAGTCAGAAACCACGCTGCGTTGACACCGCCCAAGGCCTCAAGCACAAATCACATAATATTGCCAACGAGTGGACCTCCTTCCCTTCTTCCCTTGTCACGGAGGACTTCCGTACTTCTGGCACCCCTTTCTCCGAGAGATCGGGCGTGCTCGGCTTGTCCTACCAGGCTGGGAAGCAGACAAGGATAGATAGTAATAGTAAAGTTTCCAGTGCAGGTTCAATGAATCACAAAATGCCGCACGCCCTCAGCACATACTAGCATAAGTCACACATCCATGTTGTCAAAGAGTCGGCCTCCTTCCACTCTTCCATTTTCACTGAGGACTTCCGCTCTTTCGGGGAACCCTCCTCCCAGACATCGGGCGTGCTCGGCTTGTCCTGCCGGACTGGGCAGCGTGGACTTGACAAGAGCAGCTAGTATACACTGCAGGTTCTGAGAACGTCGCGCATACATTTTGATTGAGCCGGAGAGAGAAAGAGAAAGACTAAAACAATGAGAAAGAGAGGGAGACGGAGGGAGAGAGAGAGAGAGGGGAGCGAGCGAGCGAGAGAGAAAGAGAGCGAGATGAAACCGAGCGGCTATGGGAGGGAGGGAGAGAGCGAGAAGGAGAGGGAGAGGAAGAAGCAGAAAGAGACGGAGGGGAAGAGAGAGAATCCCAAAACCATGAACCGAAGCTATTGGAACCCTTGCCTTTAACTCCAAAAACGGAAGCCCAAATCGCTGCCCGCCGGATGCCGTCAATGCGTCCTCGGCCATTTCCATCGCCGCTTCTGCAACCACTTCGTATTTTGTCCCTTGCACTTCCGCCGGTGCTTGAAGCGTCCCCGGCTGTTCTTTGGTGCTGGGATGTGCAGCCATCTTTGTCTCCACCTGACAGGCTATATTTCTTGCTTCATCATTGGGAGTGCGACTTCTAGACTGGATCTAGGACTGTCACAGGGCATTCTTACAGCCTGCATTGCGACTGGTGACAAGAACTGGTGTACGGGAGTCTCCTTGTTTTTGCAAACATGGGATTGTAAACATCGATTCCAAGAGACCATGGAAGGACCTGTGCCCGTACTCCTTTCTGTTGGGGTGCCTCTGTCTTGGTCGGCTCACTCACCTGCTGTGGAGGTGCGTCCGGCGCCTCGGTTGACTTTTCAAGGCACGCAGTAGAAAGAACAAGGCCACAACTCCTTATGTAGCTGCATAATGGGCATAATGTTGTTATTGTTGTTTCCTTCCGCACATGTGTATATAGAAAATCAAACCGTTTGTAACCCCAGACATGGAAGCTTTGTCTAGGCTCCCCAGACACGAAAGACTAACCAGGGTGCCCCTGTCTTTGCTCGTCCATAGGGACTGTGAGGCCCAAGCATATAAGAATGAGGTACAATGGACTCAGAGGGTTTCCTAAATATGAAAAAGTGGAAGAAGAGTACGGCTGGGTGTGGTTTTGGGTCGAGGGGCTCATTTGTTTGCTCTTCGGGCAAGGCATGTCTGAGAAACTTCCGTGCTTTACACGTTACGAGGATCAGGGTTTCTTAGGGTCGCTACATGGTCCCTTCTTGTGGGCCCTCAAAGGGGAACCCCTTATATACCCCTTATATGCCGTGCAAAACCTAGCCGCCCATACTTCAGAACCCGTTAACATCCTTTAACGGAGGTCAGGGACAATATGAAGTGGCCATGTAACTCCCCGGCCAGACACTTGAACAACTCCACCAAACCACCCACACACACACACACAGGTTTATCGGGAATGGGGGAGGGGGGAGGGGGGTTAGGGTTTAGGGTCGCTGTAAGTTTGACAACAGAACCCTTGACACAAAAGGTCCGCCCGACTTAACAGACACCGCTCGACATGCCAACCGTGACCCGTCGAGGGGCAGGCAGGAGTTCTGCAGCGCTGGGACGCGACTCAGAGCTTCCTTTGGCCCCGGAGTCGTGGGCACCCGCGACTTGAGCGGGCGTTGCCTGCATTCAGGGCTGGTTCTGTTCTTCTTAGGGTTTAGGGGTTTAAGGCTACTAGAGCAACGTTGTGGGGCTTGCAGGGTTTAGAGAAATTTCCGAGGTTTGCCAGCTAATTTTTGAAAAATATGTTTGGTACAGAATTATGGTCCGTTGGTGCGTTTGAAATCCAACAGTTCCGGTTTCAGGTTTGGGGTATAATAGGAGTCAGGATTTGGGGTTTGCGGGTGTAGGGCTTAGGCGGTTTTTGGGTTCCACGTGCTTGTCCTGTTCAGCTGTCGCGCACTTCAGCGCAAGCAGTCTCAAGTACCATGCTGAAGTAGCTGCGACTGGCAAGCAGTGAGACTTGAACTCAGGCCTCAGATATCCTCAGATTCAAAGACTGAAGCTTAGACCCTGACAGGGCCAAAGCCCGGCCAAGTAAACATCCTTTTGGGATACCCTTACTAAAAGTTCAGGCCAGCATCAAAATATGAAAGGTGCGAGCAACCGCCACATGAAATGTGACTTCCGCAGGCCTCGCTCGTCACCTTAGACATTCCATCGCCCGCCGCGGGAGTCTGTCTCTCCTGCCAAAAAACCCAAGGGCATCCAATGGCCCAAGGGTTTAGGGTTAAGGGTCAGGGTTTAATCAGGGCTTAACAAGTCACACGACTCTGTTGCGCCTGCTCTCGGAGCCTTAAGGCGGGTTGGCCTCGATCTATACAAAGGCTACCACAGCGCCGCTACAGTAATTCCTTCCAAGCACTTGCGCTAGCATGTCCAAGAGAGGTGGGCTCGTCCAACAATTGGAAAAATACAATACGTGGGCACTTGTCGTGTACCTATTTGAAAACCCGGGTTTCTGCCAAACGTAGCCCGCTCCAGCACATGGAGGAAACGGCTCGTATGGGCATCATCCCTAAAGCCTAAACCCTAAATAGGGAGAGGTCCCAAAGAGCAAGCCAGTGCAATTGTCGACAAAGACGTTCCTGGAAGCCTTCAGACGTCAACACCTAAGGCCTCAGTTAACAAAGAATAAGGCTATAAAGGTAGCGGGATTATAATTCGCATCCCTCCTAGTAACTCTTCATGTACCATAGCAAGAGACAGGCAAATCAAGGTATCCCAACATTTTTATGCATCATTGCATCATCGAAACAGCGCCTACCCGAGGCCTTTCTAAACACATCAAAGCCCACGCGACCCCAGTAACCTGAGCTCATAAGGTCACCTGTACTAACAGCCTCGACTCAACCCAACATAAACACCATGCAGGCTCCGAATAGGGGTGATTCGCGAGTCCATGAATCAGCCCTAAGCCCGAATCCCCGAACCCTCAACCAGAAGCCCTAAACCCTAAACCCTAAACCCTAAACCCAAAACCCAGTCCTCTGCCCCAGGCACCGGCTCCTCCGCACGTCTGCGTGGAGACTTTTCGAACCTCAGGTGTGGGCCCCAAAAGTGGATGAGGAAGGGTTTCGGATTTTAGGGCTTCAGTGCTAAGGGCTTATAGGGTTTAGGGTATAGGGTATAGGGTTTATGGATTAGGGTTGGGTTTCGGGTTTTAGGGCTTAGGGGTTTGGGGGGTTTCGGGTTTTAGGGGTTTAAGGCTTTAGGGTCTTAGGGCTTTTTGGGGCATAGGGTTTTAGGGTTTGAGTCGGTCGAGGGATTGCCGGGGCCACATGGCAGCTACTAAGTAGTCCTTGTGCGATCTAGGCATGCACGATGTATTTTCTTGGCATGTACTCTGAACCTTTCCAGGGTGCTTACTAGGTTCGGTTTCTCCTTGCGCCTAGAGACAGAGGGCTGCGAGTCTCACGAAAAATGTTTAGGGCGAAGGGTGCCCAAGCCCAGTGGGAGTAGAGTAGAGTAGAGTAGAGTAGAGTAGAGTATAGTAGAAGTGTGGGATACATGTCAACAACCCTTCGTACAAAACCCTAACCTAAAGGCTCGAAAGACTGTAACTAAAGCCAAAGCACAATATACAACCCTCAACCGACAATCCCCTTCCACCGCTCCAGCCCCCCCTCACCCCCAAGTTAAATGATTTCTACTACACAGTAAAGCACTAGCATATTGAGGAAATGCGAAATATGAGGGTGTGGCGGCCGAGGGTGCTTTTACTAGTTATACAGGGGGAGTGGATAATTAGAGCCCCAAGCCTACACCTTACACTTTACACCCTACACCCTAACCTCTAACTTGCAGCCCCACTTGCCGCCACATGCCTGAAGCCTCTTTTTCCCCCGTTTAGAACTCTAATAAAAATAATACTTACGTTTAAAGCTCCTCTTGGACTTATATGAACGAAAAAATCGAAGGATACTTTACAACGAGGTTCATGGTACTTATGAACCAAATATGACTGTACTTATAACCCACTTATAAGCCCCTGAAGTGCCCTAATGTTAGGCCCAATCCCAGTGGCTGCGCCGCCGCCTTCTCACGCTGCGCTGAGCGCAGCTTCTCTCGTCGCTCTCGAGCAGACATGTGCCCAAAGCCTTGCGTGGATATGGGGGTTTACAAAAAGAAGCGGACCCTAATACAAACGCCCTAAAAAAGGTAGGATTCCCATGAAACAAGGACCCCAAGAAGGTACCCCTGATTTCGGAAAGCCCCATATCGGAAATCGAGCTTAGGGTTTGGGGGGGTAGGGCCTGCTTAGTGTCTTTTTGGGATCTAGTGTTTTTTGGTAGGGCTCAGGGCTTCGGGGTTGGGAGAAAGAAGCCAGACACCTGAAGGCCAAGCTGAGATCCTGGTGCGGTGGGGGGGGGGGCTTTGAAGCAAGCAGATGTCGTCCTCAGACCTCCACCCCGACTCGCCTTCCGTCTCCCGCCAAAGCATTCTCAACACGCCTACCAAATCATAGATGCATGATAGATTGTATATACCACATATAACCTAAACCATCTTACCTTGCAGTGATCTGTTCTTCCCTGGATACATGCTTATGCCAGTCATAATATATTTCTTTCCTCTTGCAGTTCAAGCAACAGAAACAGTAATGTGAAGTTCATTCTGTGTCACTGATGCTGTTTTCGCGCATTGTCTTAGCACTTCCCCCTACTTCTACTTCGGGCTAATCATGTTCTATTGCGTTTTGCCTGTAAAGATATATATTCAATTCATAAGCTTCAAACTCATTTTGCTTCGTGCGTGCTTCTATTGGGCTCATTCTGCAGCAGATGACACCGGGCCCTAGACAACAACCCGGAACAAGAACCCCTGCGCCTTGAGAGCCCTGAGCCGTAAACCGAATCAAACTCACCAAGCCAACCCCCCCCCACTCACTCGTCCTGGTCAAAAGCCGCCGCTGTTCGCCACAGCACGCGAGCATTCGCCATGGCAGTCCCACCCCTAAACCCTAGACTCTAAACCCGAAACCCTAAATTTGGACACTTTCCAAAGCCAGGATACCCGCCAAAACCCCCTCAAGGCCACCATAATCCTTTTTATGAAAATCTCCCCCAAACAAGAGTATCCCCTGTTTTGAAGGGCTCATAGATAGGAGGAAGGCATGGTCTATAGGGCCTACAGAAGACACGGTGATACAAACTTCCCCTTTTGTTAGTGGGTTTGAGGAGTTGGTGGTGGTTTTGTATAGGTGGTTCTGGGGCATTCCCTTTGGCTAGCCTAAGCTATATAACAGAATGCCTAAGCCTGGAACGGTTTGGCGGAGTAGTGGCATGGTTTGACTTCCCTAAACCCTAGACCCGAGACTTCCCTCAACCCTAGACCCTGGACCCTAGACCCTGAACCCTAAACCCTAAACCCGACTGCACGATGGCAAAGCACCTCCCAGCATCCTAGCCCAACTGCGCAGGCACCATTGGCCCTGAAAGCAGCCCCCTGAACCCTGAACCCTCAGCCCTTCACCCCTGAAACTTGGATGTTACTCCTTATACGTTAGGCACTATAGTACCCCCAATTGGAATCCCTACTAAAGGCTGTAAGTATTGTAAGGGGGAACATCCCAACCAACAACCCTCAACAGGAAACCCTGAACGGTCCGCCCTAAACCCACAAGCCTAAACCCTCAGCCCGAACCCCACAACCCTAAACCCCCAACCCGAACTTACATCAACTTCTCTCCGAGATCAGGCATCCACCCTACCCTACACCCTAAGAGTGCCGGGCCCTAAACCCTGCATACCCTGCGTTTAGGGTTTAGGGTTTAGGGTTTAGGGTTGGGTTTGGGGTTCCTTTGTTGTTCGCGGTTTCCTGCAACATCTATGCCGGCCATCACGTCGACGCTGGCAGGATGCCTCAATCTCTGATTCTTCGTCCCTAAACCCACAAACTTGCTCTAGGAACACCTTCTCTAAGGAGTCACCCAAAAAGCCACTATAAGCCCTAAACCCTAAACCCTAAACCCTAAACCCTAAACCCTAAATAACCCTTAGCCTCAAAAAAAACTGAGGTGTCCCCTGCCAGGGTCGACGTCAGTGCCGACGCGGGCGATGGAGGAACGTAGGATGGGTGGACCGGGCTGCAAGTGGACTAAGTACTTTTCTGGTAATTAAGAAAATTTGAATCTGAGTATACAAAATATGTATAGGGTTTAAGGTTTACGCAGGGCTTTTCAGGATTGGGGGTTGGCTATTATCGCAAGAGTAGAGAAGTCACAAGAATGAACATGAAAACAATGATGAGAAAAAACATCCAGCCTTGCCCCCCCCCCCCCCCCACAAAAACAACTAAAAACCTATTGGGGTTGTTGGGGGTTTTATGTAGTGCAGCTACCTTTGCCAGGCGGACGAGCTTGCCCATCAAGAAATGCCAAACTTCCATCGGCAGTCTCACATCCCGGTCGCGACCTACGGCACAAGAGTAGCGGCATTGGTTGCCTGTGGGTGCTGAAGCCTCCAAAAAAACAGTGACCCGAAACCAGAACCAAAAGTCCCGTTGGATGCCCAAGCCCCAAGTCATGAACCGGGTTTACCCTAAACCTCATACCCCTAAACCCTAACCCTAAACCCTACACCCTACACCCTACACCCTACACCCTACACCCTAAACCCTAAACCCTAAATCCAAAACAAGACCCAAGTCTTCCTAAGGGTTTCGGGTTTAGGAGGTCTAGGATCAGTTGCACCTCCCCATCGCTTGAGATGTTGCACTCTACTAGGCTTTTCAACAGGGGTCCCGAAATCAAGGGTTAGGGTTTAGGGTTTAGGGTTTAGGGTTTAGGGTTTAGGGTTTAGGGTTTAGGGTTTAGGGTTTAGGGTTTAGGGTTTGGGGTTTAGGGTTTAGGGTTTAGGGTTACCCTAGACCCCAAACCCCAAACCTCGAACCCGAAAACATACACACTGCAGACCCAGTTCCCTGCACCCTTGCATCCGAAACCAACAAACCCTCCTTTCGGTTATGGCTTTAGGATTTAGGGTTTAGGGGTTTCGGGTTTAGGGTTAGGTTGAAGAGCTTCGGTGCCCTCATGACACGACGGTTCCAGGAGGCCCCATGTGCAAGGCTGGCGACATGCTAGGCATTCAGAGAGCTGCACGGCTCGAACCTTCTATCTTCTAGCGCCTGTTCAATTGGAGATTGGGCATTTTTGGGGTAAACATTCTGGGTCGTCGCTACTATGCACTTCTTGAGGCAATGTAAGGTAGTGACCCTTTAATCGGGCGGGCTATTTCATAAAGTGGAGATTTCGGGTAGTCAAGAGTCGAAAATACTGTTGCGGCCGCGAGAACTAAGGGGATATACTGTACGTTGGCAAGTGCGGACGCGCTTGCACTACATGGGCTGCCAGATGTCGCAGTAGTCGAATCTATGGGCTTGCGGGTTTAGGTCTAGCACCATTCGGCACCTCAATTCACGAGTACTCAATATTGGGACGTACTCAAATTGGACAGGTATCTTGGGTTGTTTGCATGAAGCTAAAGTACATAGGGATCATCAGGGATCAAAATGATAAAGGAATGCGAAGTGCCCTGGCTACTTTAGACGTGTCTGCCATGCGCTGCTCTCTGCAGGAACAGCTCGCTGCCATGTTGAAAGCATTTCTACATCTGGCACTGCATCAACATCTGCGTGAAGATGCCCAATCCACTGCACAAACGCTTCCCATCAGGATCTTGTTCCACGTGCTGTTGATTCAGAGCCACAGTGCGTGCGGGTGCTAGTTCGGAGGTCATGAGATGTGCCCTTTTCGATACGACACGTGGTTTCAGTGTTAAACTTGGGGCAACCGTATTAAGTCATCTTCATCATGAGTTTGAACTTGTCTGTCTGATTATCTGTATATGTCAGATATATTCCCCGGCCCCTCAACCCCACGCCCTAAACCCAAAACCCCAACCCAAAATAACAAAGAGCAAATATCAAAGACAAATGAAAAATATCCACTTCAGACTCGAGCTTCTCAACTGAAGGTCTTGGACTCGGGATTCTAAAACAGGTTAGGGTTTAGGGGCTTAGGGCTTAGGGCTTAGGCTTTAGGGTTTACAGTAGGGTTTAGGGTTGAGGGTTTAGGGTTGAGGATTGAGGGTTTAGGGCTTAGGGTTTCGGATTTAGGGCTTGGGGTTAGGGCGTAGGTTTAGGGGTATCTCAGCTTTCTGAGCTGCTGACACTAAGCTGCAGTTCTCAAGTTTTACAGCTCAATGTCTTGGGTCTGATGGGGTTTATACGCCCTGAGAATGGGAACAAGGGTTTAAGGTTCAGGGCTTAGGGTTTAGGGTTTGGGGCTAGTGTAAGTTCTTGGCCCGATGACCTTCGCGACAAATGGGCCCTCTGGTTTGTAGGGTTTGTGATTTCAAGCCGTGTAACTACCCTGAGACTGAAGCTTTGGGAGGGGAGGGGAGTGGGGAGTATTCGGGATTCGGGAACCTTGGCTTACACAACCCCCCGCCCCCTCCCTCAAGGTCCCTAGAATGCTCGGAGACCACAGGTCAAAGGAGTCTAGCTGACCCGCCTCACTGGATACTTGGAGGACCCATGATAGCTGCACGTTTAAGGCATCTAAGTAGGCTACAAGTAAACTTAAAATTGGGGTGATAAGTGTCCATGAACCTCCAAGTACAATCGCCACAACCCTAAACCTCTGAGACCCTAAAGCCAAAGTCTTAAATCCGGAATCTGACCTCGGCGCAACTTGACCTCGTTTCTTCGATCAGTAAAAAAGATCATGCACGACTTGGAGGCGTAACTCAGGGGGTCCCATGAATCAGGATGATTAGCAACTTTTGCAACTGTAAAGGGCTTGGATATTCCTAAAACAAACACAAATGAAAACTTTAGCAAGGTATCTACTGAACCAGCCTCTGCCCGAAGTCTTATTCCCGTCGAATGCCGCAGACATAGGTGGATGGCTTCTATCCTGTCCACCCTTAACCATAACCCTACAACATAGAGCCCAAATCTCCCAAGCCCTGAATCCTAAAATCGTCTCTGAACACCCTACACCTCGGAGCCTAATTGCCTCCTCCATGTATGTGTGTGCCTATGGTCGACCGGACCCCTCGAGTGCCGTGTCCATTAGCGTTGCT